AATTATTATAATTAATTTTTATTTTTATTTAATAATAAAAATATAAATTAAATATATATACATATAATTTCCCAATAAAACATAAAATAAATTATTTTATTATACATAAATTAATTATTATATAAATTATTATTTATTTTTAATAATAATATTATTTATTATTTATTATATATTTATTTTTAAAATATATATAATTTTAAATTATATATATAATAACATATTAATTTATATTATATAAATTTAAATTAAAAATCAAATATAAATCATTCCGCAATAATCCGCAATATAAATCAAAAATATTTATAATTTTTATCTAATCCATATAATGTTCATAAATAATTATAAATATTTATTATAATATATAAAATATATTAATATATTTATTATTTATTATTATTATGTTTCTTATTATTATTACTAAAATTATTAATATTATTAATTAAAAAAACAATAAATAAATAATATTATCAACAATAATACCAAATAAAAGAATATAATAATAATAAAAATAACAATAATAATAATAATATTAATAAAAAATATAATAATAATAATTTAATAAAAATAACAACAAAATTAAGAATAATAGGAAGAATAGGACTAAGAATAGGAATAACCTACAGGAAATTATATTCAAATTTATTTCGGATAAATTTCTTGGGACCAATTTTATCCAATTTTTTTTTCGGAATAAATATTTATTTCCGAAAAAAAATACAACCCCCAGGCGTACATCATATACAAAAAAATCTCCAGAACCAATTTTGGGACCATAAGGGCAATAATTGTCTGGATAAAATTCCAGTGACCAAGGTCCTGTTAATTCCTTTACAAATTTCCAACAAACTCCGCTCCGAGAAACTACAGGGGCAAGACAAGTTGAGACAACATAAGCACCTATTTTTCCGAATTGTTGCAGGTACTGTCTCAAATCTTCAAACTTTCAAGTTATAGGGCCACAAAAGCAACAAACATCCAATGCGATATTACGCAATTGTGTGCTTACTATTTTTCGGGTGACCCCATAAGCAATCCCTAAAATATTAAGTGAAAATATGGATGTCCTGCATTCTATTTGAATCAAAATTCCTGGTCCAAGGTCTGTAAGACAATGTGTTTTACTCCACACTTTTTTTTTGGTTGCAACCCCAGCGTCGCTGAATATTTTTCCATGGGACAACCCCCCTAAATTTTGAAAATAGGCTGAATAAATTTCCTCGGGGGATAAAATTTGGGGGCACAGGGTCAGGAAAAAAATCCTGCCAGCACGACCCGGTTTAAAAAAAACAAAATCTTTTCGAGGAGAATTACATCGGACCGCAGTTTTGAGGACACTGCAAGCACTTCAAACTACCTTTGCAAAAGAGAACCCAGTACAATTCAGCATGCAACATATCGGACCGGGATCTGTGGGATGCACCTGCGGCAGAGATCCCTGGGGATGACCACAGTATGCAGAGGCTGATCCGACCCACGAGCACGAAGGCATCTCCGATGACGAGCAGGCCAACATGTGCTGTCAGAATCTTTTTGGGCCTTGAAAAGGCCGTGGAATCTTGGATCTTCTCGGATTGCGGTGTTACGGCAAGGGGGAGTGTGGAAGGTAAATACCATTTGACACTGGAATCGAGAAGTGTAACAAGTTTTTCTTTTGCACCAGATGTGAAGATCAGCATAGCCCCTGCACATTTCAGTGACAGCATGGCCTCCTGCGCAAGGATGATTTTACACAATCCATGCAATATTCATGGCTCAAGAAAAAGCTGCTATCGGCAGCACCTGATCCAGCTCAAAAATAATTAAAATAGCCTTATATGTTTATTCTTATTATTATGTTTTATTTTAATAATATGTTTAATATTATTATATATATATTTATATAATCTCTATATATAATTTATAATATTCCGAATCCCCGACAATGCATATATAAATTATTCTGCAGTTAACATCAATTAAATATTAGATTTCAAATATTTAATTGTTCTAAATAGTTAGTTTAATGAATAGTAATTTTGCATGTTTCCATCGCTGTAACCGCAGGTTTCTAACATTAGGCCTTTTTGTATGTCACAGCCGTTTCCACGTCCGTGTCTCGCATTTCTGCTTCCAATGGAAGGTTCAATGCACTTCACCAAAATACCAAATTGGAGGTTCCTAAAATAGGGGTACCCCAAATCATCTATTTTAAGAAGATTTTCCGTTATAAAATGTTATAAACCATCCAGCGAGCTTGGGGTACAAGCATTTTAGGAAACCCCCAATTGAAAATGGAAACAATCACGGCGTGGTGATTTTGAGATGCCAAGATTTGAATCAATTTGCATCGCTTCCTTCCAAGCGTCAATCACAACTCTTAGAGGTTTGCTGGTCAAAACTCTTGCCGTTAAGAAAAAACGTGTTGATCAAATGCCATTAATGGAATACTAATGACTAGCCCTGGAATCTAATAGTCTACAAACAAAATACAAGTAGAATAGCAAACTATCTTGGAGAATAGATCGCTTGCAGACAAACCCAATGTAAACTTCAGAACTTCAGCATAATAAACATATCAACAGGTGGCTACCCATGGTGCATCTTGCACCAGTCCGCACCTTCAACTTTCTGCCCTCAGTGGCCATTGGCCGCCGCTCCTCAGAGATTCAAGCTGAGGATGAATATTCCATATGGCTAAGCGCAAAGATGGTTGATTCATAAGCACATCTATGGCAATTTCGGAGGATTTACCTTCATGTTATTGCATTTCAAGCGGGTTTACACCTCAATTTTGATGCCTGACAGGGCGAGCTTTTAAACCCATGGATTCTTTTTGGGGGTCCCTCAATCGGACAAATCCCAAGCAGGTGCCAGTCCCATGCCACAGCCCAACAGCCCAGATCCAAGCCACATCTGCGGACTAGTACATGCCTCGGTAGGAACCCGCTGGCAACGCTACCTGTCTTACCAGCTTGACCTGGTGACCAGCAAACACAGGGGGTTGCGGTAACCCATGGAATTGAACTCACTGAAGATGTCACTCTCTGTTGAAGAAGTCAAACATAGTCAAACTGCGAATACAAAGAGCCTAGACATCCTACTTGGAAATCCAGTTCCAATTATAAATGGATACAAAACCATAGTTATAGGCATAGGTATTGTATCCCAACTTGTAGGGGTTTATAACTAAGGTTACACCGTTAACCTCAACCAAATCCCCAAGTAGACCGTGGCATCACCATGCCCTCTGAGGTCAGCCTCCAACCACCCAGCTGTGAGAATCCCAGCCTTTTCCCTCACCTCACATGCCTAGTTTAAATATACAAAAAGCTATTGATAATGGCCATTTATACTTGATTTACCCATTAAAAATTATGATTTTCCATATAACTGGCTGTTTCTGGTTGGTGGTATACCTACCCCTCTGAAAAATATAAGTTCGTCAGTTGGGATGATGAAATTCCCAATGTATGGAAAAATAATCCAAATGTTCCAAACCACCAACCAGGTTTGATCAACTGTCAATCAGGACGACCTGGGAACACGATCGTATTAAGAAGGCTGACTAGAATTACCCCACAGATTGGCTTGTTAGTAGGAAAGCAATGATCATAAACCACAGGAATTTCGTGGGTTCTATTTTGAGAAAGACCAACATATCATTCTGTTGACTACAAAAGTGATGTGTCCTATTAGTGTCCATTAATACCATTTTTCCTCCTTATTACCCTCTGGAAATTTTTGCGATAACAGAAATCACAATGTTCAAGTTTGGTAAATCAATGTAAATCATCGAGCCAAAAAAAAATCGGCTGTTTTCCACAGCAAATCTGTTAAATATTACTTTCAGCCGTAATACATCCCATCGGTAAACCCGTCAGCAAAATACCAAATCTATCACATTCTGAATTGCAGCTTAATTGGGATATGTATGCTATATATATATATACATATTATAGATATACATATTATGTGATTGAAGTATTTGTCTCCCATTAGTGTAGGTTAATGTTACCTCCCATGAATTTCAATGATCATGTTGCACTTTTCTCCCCATAGGTTACAACGTCTGAGGCCCCCGGCCACCCTTCATAGGCCAAGACGTAGTGCCGCCTGCCATCCAGGGTGGAAGCCAATGGATTTTCGTGGGAAAATCTTCACCGGAAACCTTTTTTTTGGGTCGTGACTTATGGTTTCCGGGAAACGGTTCCTTCCAATTCTGGTACCCATTTTTGAAGTCATTGGACTTCGACTTGATTCAATTTTTTGGGAGGATGTTGACAATCTAAATATACAGGACCACCCTAATTTACGTGGCAATGTCTAATGTTGGTGACTCGATCTTCATGAAACTCCACTGAACGGAAGGCCTATGTTTCGGAGGTCTATCAAGGCCAAGTGTCAATAACATTCAACTACAGCATGAACAAAGAGTGGCAACACCAAGCTCAAATCACCACAAAAACCGAATGCAACCTGGAGGTTTCATGAAATGGGGGTATAGGATTTTCCATGAAATCAACCATCTAGCTGAAACTCCCATATGATTGCTGATGATGATGGGAAAGCTGATGCTTCATTCCCTTTCCTGTAGGGATGTGGCAGTATCCACCTAATGTAATGTGGCTGGTTGACCGCCAGCAAAATCACCTGATATCAAATGAAATATTCCTCCTCCCTGAAACATACACAATCAACCACTAAAAACAACTCAAATCCAGTTGTAGCTTGGGAGGTCCTTCATTTTGAGTCTCAAAAGAACTGCAATCTGTGGGAAAGGAACTAGCAGTTCATGATTCTCTCATGGACTTGCAGGGTAATCTTTGGACATGTTTGAACATTGCGCCGCAGGTAGTTGTTTCGGCAAGGGACACCACCCAGGATCACCCTGCAGTCAACTCACGTCAACTCCATTTTTGGGCGCGCAAACATACATCACATAGGAACCTCCCAAGAAATGTCTCAAAGTCATGGTAACCACTGTTTTAGTATTTGTTTGAACCAAGTTCTATCTTCTTGGGGTACAAATCACTTCGACATCATTGCTTGCCTTTGGATGCCTTTGGCTCATGCCCTGCCCCCAGGTCCACCCCAAGATCCACGGGAGGCTTTAGAGTACTAGCGATAATTCGTACACCATATTGCAAACATTTAGTGTGCTGATTACCCTCTAGTAATTTAACATAGCTATGGAAAATGGCCACTTATAGTTGATTTACGCATTGAAAATGGTGGTTTTCCATAGTTATGTTAGTTTACCAGAGGGTATATCACTGGTTGGTGGTGCAATAACCATCTTGAAAAATATGAGTTCGTCAATGGAAAGGATGACATCCCATATATTATGGAAATAAAAATGTTTGAAACCACCAACCAGATCAGTTATATCATAATACATCACATCCCATGTTTGATTCAATCCTTAAAAAACATGTCTGCCAAATCCCTTTTTTTTTAAGCGTGAACTCCTTGAACTCCCTCAACCTCTCCTTCCTTCTTGTCAGTGAAGAATAAAGTCTACAGTAGTTTTTGGCAAACCTCGATGCTCCATGTCCATGTATGACAATTCTGAACTAACATTCACCCCAAAAATGATTTGTTCACAGATTTTGACAGGTAAACATACCACGCATTGTGGCTTTGTCTGGAAAATGCCAGGTTTCCCATCCTCTGGTGAATCATCATCATCCCTATTAAAATTGCCAGAAAATGGGGCTGCAATGTCCAGTGTGAAAAAACCACCCAAATCATCCCAAGTCCATTTTCATTTGTCAAATATGGTTATACATATATATATATATATACCATGTTATATCACGTTAAATCCCCTTTTTTGATGATGAAATCTGATGAAATCCCATTTCTTCAGCATACAAGCGCTAGTTATCCATGTTTCACCGGTGAAAAAAATGGCGTCGCTGCCCCGCTGGGCCCCGCTGGGCGCTGGGCCCGGCCTTTGCCTCCCTTGGCGCCCTTGCCCTTCGACTCCCATCCGCCGGCTCCGCCGTCATAGCCCCCGTCCCAGGAGCCACCCCAGCCGCCGCCGCCGCCCTTCCCTTTGCCGTCCCAGCCCCAGCCACCTCGGCGCCGGAGGCAGTTTGGTTGGAACCAAAGCATGGAACAAGTATGGAAAAGTATGGAAAAAATGGATGGAAATGATGGAAACTTGATAACATGTCAACAATATGATAATGAAACATGCTCTCAAAATCTCAAAGAAGCAGCTTGAGATGAACAAAGTTCTTGGATGTGTTTAGAAGTAATATGATCCCCATAAATGGTGGTTTGGAATCTTGGGAGCTCCTTACGAAAGCGATTCCAATCCAGCAGGAAGGGTTTGGCCCTCTCATTCGCAATTTGTGTGTCATTGGGCTGTTTTTCTTAGAGAAAGTTTTACATCAATGAAACCATTATAATCCCCATTAACTATAGTTATATCTACCATAAACCATTCATCCACATTGTCAAGCCACTTATAAATCAACTGAACGCTATCTTGGGGGCCCCATGATCTTTACCCTACATTTTCGGGATGTTCGGTGATGATTTCCCCTTTTTCTTCCAAGTTCTGAATCAACTTTGCACTGGAGAATAGAAGAGCAATAAGGATACCCTCTGGTAAACTAACATAACTATGGAAAATCATCATTTTCAATGGGTAAATCCACTATAAATGGCCATTTTCAATAGCTATGTTAGTTTACCAGAGGGTAACTCAGCTGTGAAGATTGGGGGGGTCATTCCAACTGTATTCTGTCTCGAAGATTCGCCTGATGATTTTTCTTCCGGAGATCACTTACCATCCATCTGGTTATGACATTCACAGGGCGAGCATCACCATGCTATTAATAGGTAAACCATCGGGGTTGGTATTTGGGGAGGACTGTTGGGTCAAGATTTTGTAGCTGTAAAGTAGCTCTGCCCAACCCCAATCACTACATTTTCCATGCACAGGCCAAAAAAAAATCACTACAAAAGTGCAACCCCAGCCTGGATAAAGGGTTACTACAAAAACCAAAGAATCTAACAAGAGGCCCTTCAAGATACCCTTGAAAAACCACATAGATATTTGTAGTGATTTTTAAGTAGATCCCACTCAAGTCTTCAAGATCAATCCAAAAAAATGACAAAGTAGTTTGTAGTGATTTTTGGTATACACTACAAAAAAAAGTGAACAGAATTGTCTTTTGAAAGTAAGAAATTAAATGACAAATGCAGGCGCCAGAAAACCTGGTCGTGTGTGGTCTTGTGATGATCGATGACAGTAGGTGGTTGCCATGGGGGAGGGACAAAGGTTTCTTGAAGTGGATTTTGTAGCGTTGGAACGCTGCAACTTAATTTTGTAGTGGACCTCTTTGGGCTTTGGGTATGCAGCGGCCAATGTAATGGAAGGGTATGTTTGTGCGGTATTGGTTGACTTTGCAGTGAAAAGCAGTGACAGATTGGGAGCATCAATCGAAATGGATTGTCCAATCCTGGGTTTGTGTGTGTGTGTTGTGCATGTTTTTCTCAGTTGTTGGGTCGAAATAAGACATGGCAGCGCAAATTCAGCAGTGATTTCACTCGAGCACTGCGAAAATGTCTTTTCTACAAACTGCAACGGCCCGCCATTATTTAAATTGAAAACTACTCTGGGGAAATATTAGTATTGAACATGGAACCCTACAAATTTACTACAAAGTACTTTTAGGGCAAATCTGAGTGAACTCAGATATCCATTTTGGGTTGACTATTATCTCACATACTTAACCACTACAAACTTCTATGACCAGCCCATGTTTGAATCTAGAAACATATGTGACCTAGGGTTACTACAAAATGCAAGGACACATGGTCCTAGGGGGACTGTAAAAGCCATTGAAAAAAATATTTTATATAGGACCCAAGTCCACTACTTTTGTAGTGGAAATTCCAGGATGGTAAACCATCCATTTCGATTAGGGCCATCGAATCTAATTTTCCATGGCGAACTGTTAGTCATAACCAGGTTGGGTATCACTTCAACAATTCTTCACAAAACACAAAAATGCTGGATGTTGAGAAAGGTAAGACTTCCCCATTGGGATGATATGATGATGACCTTTCTGGGAAAGCATCTGTTCGAATCCTCCACCAGCATCTAGCTCTAGTGTTTCAGAAAATCTTCCATGAACATATAGGGTTATAAGGCCCGGTAGGAGGCATAGATTGTAAATGTTCAAAATCTATATATATTTTGTATTCCAACTGTATTCCTGGTGTATCTAAAATGGGGGTACCCCCATGGATTGGATACCCCAATAGCTGGATGGTGAATGGAAAATCCTATGAAAGCAGAGGATTTGGGGGGTACCCCCATGGGAAAGCTCCATATATGAACAACATTCAACAAGCATGGCTTACACTACACGTTCTCGACCTGGAACCGGAACAGGAAAACTTGAGGAGAATCTCAAGTTTCAGCCAAGCAATAAGCTGGGCCAGGCACCCCATGGGTTCATCATCATGCTCATCATGCCCATCATCTTACCTTTCCTTGGGCAAATGAGCTGCACGTTTAGAACATCTTCGGTGTTTTCCACACCCCCACTTTTGCTTGGACACTGCAAAACAAGAGCCAATTTACATCGATTTGCACTCACAAGTCCTCGCTCAAGACTCCAAGACTCACATCTTTTCATTTTGGGACACCCATTTGAGTTCAAACCGTATTCACCAGGCCTGCAACCCGAGAACCGGTTCCTCATTTCCCTTATGCATTGCAGTGACAACACTAGCGATCCCAGTTAGAATTGGTACTTGGACTCACGTATAGTACCTGGTTTTTCAATCCTCAGCGAATGTGGTGTGGCAAACCTCATGATTTACGGCTAGTGGGATGCACATCAGGTGGGCAATAAACAATGGCCATTCCAGGAACCTAAATTGATTGGAGGTACCTACCATATATAAGGCCGAAAAATAAGGCCTATGTAAGAGAATATCCCCAGAAAATATGGCCTGATATGGTACAGTACCTCCATTTTAGGATCCTGAAATTCCCATTGAACTCGGCCGACTGTTGAAACTACCCCTGGATATGACGGAAAAAGTGGGTCAACAGGTACAATCCACCGGGTTTTCCGCTAATGTTTGGTTGGACAATAAAGCAGCCCTGGTCATTAAAATGAACATCCAGTTGAGCTAGGAAACCCTGTCCCATCCAAATATACTGATTGTTTAATAACTATCAATTCTTACGGCTTGGCTCACTATCCCTATTGATCCAGGTGATATCATGTGATATTGTGATCATTATATACGTATAATAAACCTTAATGAATCCACAGTCCAAGTACTAAGGGTGATAGATTACATTTAAAAAAAAAACTAATTATGTGGTTTTATCAACCGTGTCATATGGTCTTATACTACCCATTTCTACCAACACTTGGATAATAAGACTCAATCAGATTTCAATCAAAAAAATGCAACATGCTATAATTGGACTGAATAAGATCCGTTTAAACCCCACTGTTTCATACCCTGTGGCAATTTAACATAGCTATTGACAATGGCCATTTAGTTCGTTGATTTACCAAATAAATAGTTGGTGATGTTCCATAGTTATGCCAACGTTTACCAGAGGGTACATAACAATACATACTATATGGAGGTCACCATAAATGGGATGGTTTATAATGGAAAATCCTATTGAAACAATATATGCACAATATATTGAACAGCAGTATGTGCGACTAATGTGGAATGTGTCATTCAATAATGTTTCATACCCCATGGTTTCATACCCACTGTGAATAAGATCCAAAACGTTTCATCCCCATATAGCAATATAACAACACTTTTTCCATAGTATATAGTTATATGTGATAGTTTTTCACTAATGTGGGTAAACCAATAATAAACCATCCCAAAATCACCATTTTTATGGGTGGTATAAACCATGAACAAAATGGGGTGGTTTAATATTGTTTTAACCACCTCAATTAATGAAAGTTGATTTAACATGATTTAACCATATTAAACATGGCCTTTCGTTGATTTACCAGATACATCCAGATACCCAACACCTGGATGGACCGTTCTCCGGAACGTTCCGACTGGACCGTTCCGAGTCTCATTCCTTTCATGCCACCGCCCTTGCCCCGATCTGCCCGCGGGGTGGCAAAGACCACGGTCACCGCATCGGTCAAGTTCTGGGGCACGTTGCCTCACCATTGGATCACAGGGATTTCCATGGGGATTTCATGGAAAAAACATGGGAATTAATGGGAATTCACAAAAATTTCATGGAACTTCATAGGATCCAATGGGATTTAATGGGGGTTCATAGAATTGTCATAGGATTTCATGTGATTACAATGGAGATTTGATGGGTTTTGATGGAAGAACAACATGGGATCTCATGGCATGTCCTTATATGAATCCCATGAAACCCCATGAGGCCCGTACTTATTTGATCTGCATAGATCAAGATGTTTGTCAACATTTAGGATTTTGGGGCAAACTGGAAAATCCCTTATAAACTGGAAAATCCCTTATAAATGGATGTTTTAATGGGAAAATCATCTGTAAATGGCCCATTTTCCATGGCTATGTTAAATAATTAACCAGAGGGTAAATGTCTCTAGGATCTCTAGAAAATATCGCATAGCTTGTCTGAACATGGGGTAATTACCCCAGAATCTGATGTTGGACTATCGTCTCACCCATTCAAATTGCACTTTGACGGGTATACTCGATTCTGAACACACCCATGGAAAAAAACAAGACCGATTGGACAGAACGCAAAACCGATAGGTTCCCCTGTTTTGCGGCAAGATTTCTGGGGGTATTTAACGGCTAGGGAAAGGGATTGGGTCCCCATCATTAGCGAAATGGACAGATCAAGAAACAAACAAAGGAACACAGCAGCAGAATTGGACATGGAGAGGTGACCAAGATTATTGGTATATATTGGTATGATTTAATGGATGCTAAAATGTCCATCAGGTAGTCAAAATGGGGCCATGTGGCTGCACAGAATTCTCCATCGCACCCGAAAAAAATGCCCAGTCGGAAGCAAAGTATGAGGATGTATGAGGAAATTTGATCCAAAAAAACACCCGTCTTTTGTGGGTCCGTTGGTATCCCATGCTTGACTCATACACCCGCTGCAAACGCCAAGGTGCCATTGACGTTTTCCACAATCCACTTGGCGTCCTCCACGGTTTCCATGATGACGAACGCGGCTTTCGCATTCCTGGCAGAGAATGCAATCCCGCAGTTGTTTCAGGGACTTGGAGTTTGAGTGAGGAAAAACACTACATATCATGACATTATCTGGTTGGTGGTTTTAACCATTTTGAATAATATTAGTCAATGGGAAGGATTATCTTATACATTATGGAAAATAAAAAATGCTCCAAACCACCAACCAGTTATTATATCACACTGAGATACATTCCCACGATAATTTGTAAAGGGGATCTTGAAGATGAACACAGGCAGATCGAAGCAAAGGAAACATGATTCACCAAGCCGGACAAAGGCCATTTTTGAGGGGATGTTTTTTCTCTAATCGTCGCGCATTGAGTCCTGATCTTTGGAGTTGAAGATATCAATGGTCTCAGCAATTCTAAAAGAAACCACTTGGGCGGAAAACCAATTCTGAGATATGAAATTCCCTTGGTTACTTGGTTTGGTTTCTACCCAAGAAAATGGTTTTAGATATGTTTTTCAATGTTGTTCCACCCCAAAATGTGAGACCATTGGTACCGGATGGGGCTCCGCACTTCCCGGGACTCACTGGAAGTGTAGTCACCTGCTTGACCTCAGCGGCCCAGCTTCCCATAGCACATGGTTGTAACCAACAAATATGGTGGAAAAAAGCAGCTGCGTATATAATAAGCAATATGCATCATATTTCATTATAGGGATATATATATATATGATTATATATGTATTCAATATGAAAATAATTATACATATATATAATATATATATATAATATATAATATATATATAATATAATATATATAATATATAATATATATATAATATAATATATATATATATGGGAATATTCATGGCGCTATGAATATAAATGGCATATTGCTTGGTATCCCCCGGTGTGATCATGGCCATGGCAGGCCGCTGGGAAATCCCCCAACGAGATGAAGCATGGTTGGAGCGTGATTTTGCGACAAACCCATGGTATCTCCTTCATTGCTGTGTGAGAATGCCTTGTTTTTTATGTTTTGTTTTTACTCTCAAACCCAAAAAAAAAAACAATGTTTGATGATTCCACTGAATTCAAATAATAGTGTCATTTGGGGCTCAAGGGGACTTGTTTATAGGAGGTCTCTTCGGAGAAGCGGGGCAGAAGTTCCCATGTACTCACCAAAATCACCATAAATACTGTAAATATCCCCTTGAAATTCACCCCAAGGGGTCAGACCCCTCTAGTAGCTATAAAAACCACGGGGTCTTGCAAAAAGCTTACAAAGTGAATGGGTGCTCGTAAAAAAATCTCCCTACAAAATGGTAGAGCTTTGTGCATCAACCAGCTCTTTCCAGCACCCCCACATTTTGTATGGAGCTATATTTTGCCCGGATGTTTGATTTCTATCTTTTTCTGAATATGAATTTTGCTTGCATGCTTCGACCCTGAACCCCAAAAACGGCGTCATTTTGTAGGAACCTGTTGCTCTGCCATTTCCCTGCGTTTTTCTCAATTGTCTTTAAGGAGCAACCCATCCTTTTTGTGAGGAAATGGGCTCAATGACATGTGCGTGTCCTGTCTTTTTACAATGTTGACAAAAAGTGAAGCGTTCATACCCCTTCTTCTTTTGCCCAAGAGTTGAGTTGTGTTGGAGCGCCAGGCTGACGCGGACAAGTGGCATGGCGTTGTATTTTGAATTCCCTACAAAATGACCATTAAAATCAACAGAGGGATTCCCTACAAAATGGATGGCCCCAACCCAGCCAAGTTTTCAAACTGCATTTTGAGTGAGATTGCTATATGATAGTGATTTCATGCGTAGATCATCTATTTTATTGCTCTTACAATATGGCCAGGTGCAGGCAGGCTCCCTACAAAATGACCTCCGAAATGGGCCTAGAAATGGCCCTTCAAATTAGTACATGCTACAAAACGGCTGGGCTCTTGAAAGTGATTTCCTACAAAATGACCCTGGAAATCGTGCTTGTATGGGCCTTAAGGCCAGCCACTTCATAGGGGAAATTTCAACGGGGATCTGTAAATGGGTTATATTAGGACCGTTCCCAAATGATAGGTTTGTAGCATTGGGTTTTACCACATCATACATGATGAGTTACAACCCCACAAAACTGTTTGGCTTTATAAACCCATTATCTAGACATGTCTTTTCATGTTTCCCATTCATTCTCATGGGGATAAATTACATAAACCATCATAAACCCAACCAGCAACGTCTCAAAAACTTACGTCCCAGTCTCTGCGCCGTACTGCGCAAAGATCTGTTTGCCATACTCGTTGGTGCAGTCAATGGGCAGCCCCGTCCTCGGTGTGAGCTGTGCCATAGGCGTGGCCGCGGTCATCTCACACAAAGACTTGGAGTCAACAAAAACAAATATGGGGAAAGATGTGAAAAATATGGACCAATCCAAATGATAGTAACTGGTGAATGTGACTATTTATGCTAAAGCTATCTAAAACTACAGTTATGGATGGTGCTAACAAGGTATCATTCACCTGCAAGTTCTATCTTGGGTGGTTGTCCGAGTAAAAGCCCATAAACATGGATACACCGCTCCTTCACATCCGAATGTGTTTTTGTTGGGCTTAAACATCAATCAAGAACTGTTATTGACACTGCAGGAAGGTGTGATGTTTGAAACCACCCTTAAATCCTCTGAGTTCAGAAAGCCCCATGGCAAGGGCCCACCCTTGTTCTACCAAGTCTCACAAAAAGGGTCTCGCTGGGTGCTGGTTCTTGCGCCATCTCTGGAGGCGGCGAAACAACAAAAAGATGAGAACGGAACAGAAAAAGCCAGCGCCGAAAACCAAAAAAATGTGGAAATGAGAAGTGAAAGTCAACTGAGATTAAAACTAAGCCGTGTATCTCTTCATGTCTTGATGCCGTTCTGAAGCCCAAGCAGCACGGAGTCCATTGCGACGACCAATCGTTGAATCCGGTGGCATGTTTCGCATCACACCATCCCGCCCCGGGTGGGATAGAAACATATAGAAACTGATTCCAGGATTTGTCTGAGCCCCTAAATTCCTAGATTCTGGCTGGTGGTTTCAACCTTACCCCTCTGAAAAATCATGGAGTTCAGTTCGTCAATGGCTTTCGGATGACATCCCAAATGTTTGAAACCACCAACCAGCAACCAGGATTGTCATCAGTTTCCCTATGAAATGGCCGACTCAAGTGGGGTTGGTTCTCCGCCGAAGCCGCCGGGGGAGCGCTTGGCGCCTAGAGAAGAAATTCGCGAAGTCTACCGCCTGTATATCATGATAAAATATGATAAATCCTATCATCGTCAATCTTTGTCCACGAAAATTATCTGTTCAGAACATAACTCTAGAAAATCACCACATTTTGTTGGTATAACCAGATTAAAAAATCATATTTTGCTGGGCACATGGCACATTTTTTTGGCCAAAAACCCTGAAGGATTAACCCACCTCTCCCAGGCTGCCGCTGGCCGCTGTTTTTCACCGCCGGAGCTGGGCAAGGGCAGCTAGGGCCACCATGGGTCACCTGGGTCCTGGCAGGATCGAAAACCTGAAGTTTTTGTGAGGTATAAAAAAAAAACATGAGTGGATCGTTCATAGTATGCTTATATAATCATGGTTAAGAATTGTCAGTAAAGTCAGTAATGGCTAATCATCATGAATTGTTACCCTCTGGTCATCAAACCTGGCAACGGAAAATCAACGACATGATGATTTTCATGGAGGTTTGAATAGGAAAATCGATCGTTTGACTCCCGGAAGGTATATTTTTATATCATTTACAAAATCCTGGGACACCAGACCTCGCTATTTTTCGAAGACATGGCTAGGACATGGCCTCGGGTGAAATCACCAGATTAAGTCGTACAAAAAAGGGAGCGCTCCGATTCAGAGTGGCTATGTCTGCAAATACAGGACCCAAAAAAACTCCAAAGGTTTGAAACATCACTTTCCGCATTAAAGTATATTAAAGTACAGTATATTAACATGACAATGGTGTACTAGTCTTAGTGCAATTTTTGGCTGGTTGGTGGTTTCAACCTACCCCTCTGAAAAATGACGGAGTTCATCAGTTGGGATGTTGAAATTCCCAATGGAAAGTCATAAAATTCCATGGTTCCAAACCACCAACCAGATATCTCATTAACCATTATTAACCACTATTAACCACTATTAACCACTATTAACCACTATTAACCACCATTGACCACTATTAACCATTCCCAATATATGAAAATTCCCAGTCACCACCAACCAGTTGGTATATACAGCAAGGTCGATGCCAATGATTCACACATTCTTGCGCCCAGGTCTCAAATCGTTTACCGCATCCTCCTTAGCAAAAATGTATTAAGATTTATTACAGATGTTGTTATACCATCTTAGTAAATCTTTATACTATTAGACCTTAAATGGATATGGGCTGGTCTAAAGTATAAAGAATCCATCTTAAGACAAACCCACATCCATTTTGGCATGAAAAACATACAAAAAAACTCCCACCTCAGACCAGTCCGAAGCTAGGCCCCACCTGGTACATCAGACGATAAGATCGAGAATCAAGAGTGGTATATGGGTTATACGGGGTATATGGGTTATATGGGTTATTTGGGTTATGTGGGTTATGTGGGTTATATGCTTTTGTCACCCAACATTTTGGATTTACAGCACCATTTTTGCCACACAGGGACAAACTGTGGGAAAAAAAAGGGTTTGCCACCATTTGTGTTTGGCAAGCATAAGACACATTGGGAAAAACGATGGGACAATGAGCTTTGAAGCAAGCACCAGTTTATGGCTGTGTATGGGGAGAATGGGGGTTCTGAATCATAGCATGAAACCGGTATAGTTTGACCATCATCCACTGACACTTTTGAAGTCATCTGCGGGCATTCGTCACTGGTGCGCAAAAGAGAGCGACTACAACCAGAGACGAATGAAAATTGTGTGCTGCTTGGTGGTTTTAACATGTTTTAACCATCTTCAAACATATTAGTCAATGGGAAGGATTCTCCCATATATGAAATGGAAAGTCATAAAATTCATGTTCCAAACCCCCATTTCTATCCATTTCTCCCATTGTGGATGCGACGATTTCATATAGAATTTCTAGTGACGTCATGGGGACAAACCGCAGAAACTTTCTGCGAAATCTCTGAAGATCTGATGGAACTTCGACCTCGATCCCGGTGCCGACGATGACAGATTGACTGCCTGGGGTGTTGCCGTGGTTGCCTGTTGATCATTGAATTTAGTCAGTTATTACGCTGAAATGTATCACCTCTGTGAACTCTAATATGTATTACTCTCTGGTAAACATTCACAGTGTGTTATTGAAAATGGCCCAGTCGAAATAGTTGATTTCCCGAACTTAAAAATGGTGATTTTCCAGTTCGCAAAACGTCAGTTTACCAGTTCGCGTAACTGCTTCATGAGAACTGCATGGCTTTGTCTGAAAATGGGGTACCCCATTGGAGACATCATCTTTCCCCATGAAAATTACCATGAGGCGATCAATTTGCCCCATGAAACAGATACACCCAAATCCATGATTCCTTGGATACATATGCTTCAATATCATATTTTTATATCTTATTCATGGTTAAAATCCCCTGTTCTTGTCCCATTTTTCCTGGTCAAATCAAGTGAAATCCCCTAGTATTGCTGGTGATTTTGTGGTTAAACCCAGGCCCAGCACTTCTCCACCGATTTTTTTGGGCCGCCAGGAGCTGTGCAGGTCGGTGTCTTTACTGCACCTCGCGGTGCATGATGGGTCAAGAGCCATCCGTGGTGAACACCAAAACTGTTTTTTTACATGTATACTTTGGAAATCTTTGGAACTAGTTCAAGATATATGTGTGAAACATTGTAAAACTGTATAAATATAGCTAACCCTAGTTGAACAGCTGGTATCATAGGCTTTGATCCATACTCTGGCCCTTTTGGAAAATGAGATCTTCGAGGACATTCGAGTTCAAAGAAGGACCCGGGCCTTGAAGGAGTCGCTGTACTTGTTGTTGGTAGATAGGGTTTCGATTCATGCTCTTGGCCGCAAACATATATATATATGCTACTGTATATTGATTGTATGTTCTGCATTAATCATTAATAATCATTCTGGTTGGTGGTATACCTACCCCTCTGAAAAATACGAGTTCGTCAGTTGGGATGATTTTCCATTCCCAATATGATGGGAAAGTCATAATCCATTCATGTTCCAGTTCCCACCAACCAGCATTACTGGGCATTTATATTAAAGATTATTCCCATAGAAATTTTCCAGCCCTTTCCCAGCGCCTTCACAAACGGCGGGTGGCCAGCTCTATGCCCAGCGCGAAGGTGTACAGACCTGTTGTTCCGGGGATGTGCCATGGCTGCCATGGTCCGATGAGTCATCCCGCCGTGGGGATAAATACTGTACCCGGCCTGGTAAACGTTTACATAACAAACTGGAAAATCACCATGTTTGTTATGGGAAAACTCACTATAAATGGGCCATTTTCAACAGCTATGTTAAATTACCAGAGGGTATATACTGTAACTTGGAATGGGTATGTAGATCTTGTTGTTTTTTCCGGAATCCAAGTTTTGAGAATGATACAAGATGGGTTGGTCTGAACATGAGGCACATCAAATGTGGATCTTTATGACCATTTTCCCATCAAAAATGGCAAATTGAGACATGGTAAGTTCGGTTTCAACTTTGGACAAATCCATGAATGGGGCAAGTTTGGGTACGGCCATGATAAGGATGAAAGCAACAACAGCAAATTGAAGGAACAAACTATCCCCTTAAGATAGCCAATAGGTACCCGCAATTGGAATGACACGTGTTTAATCATTATTTCCAGAGAGAATAATATATTATAATATAACACAGTATAATATAATATAATATGATATAATACAATATAATATAATACAAAACAATACAATATATAATATAATATATATATAATATAATATATATATATAATATATATTATAATATAATATATATATAATATAATATGTTATATATATAGATGGCGATACGAAATATGATAGACCAAGGGGTAAACTGAGCAAAACTACGAATTTCTAACAAAGATTCCAGCGCCCAACGTGCGCCTGTGATGGGCATCACACCTGCCACGGAACACCCCCTGTGTTTCCACGCTTCATTTCAGATGCAAAATCCAGAGAAAACTTACCAAACTTTGGGCACTGAAACTGCTAGTGGTTTTGGGAGATCAGCTTTCCCACTTTTGGAGATGGAACATGAATTGTCAAAACATGTCAAAACCGACAGTCTTGCCATGGAATTAATTTGTTGATTCAAGAATCGATGACCACTACTGTGATAGGTAAATGATTCCTTTCGTTTTCAAGGCCAGTGAAATACATATCATGAATCATGAAAACATGTATCAGTACATTATTAGCATGATTATTAGCGTCACTAAAATAACTGAGCAAAATCCCATATCATATCATCCAATAAAATCTAAAAATCATTGTCATCATCGAAACACCGTTTCTCTTCGTTGGGCAGAAACCCATCAAAAATCGCCATAGATTTCTGTGGCTCAATTTATACCAAGAAAGTGACCAAAAAATGGGAATTGTGTCGCAGTTTCAAACCCCAAATGACAAACATGAATCCATCTTTCATCGGATCATTGCATCGTACACAGTAATACGAACAGGATGGGGTTTCCTCATACTGTATGGTTGTCACAGACAAAAAAATGCAATCCCCGAGGAGGGAACACGGATACTGCGAATTTAAGGTTGATTCCAAAAAAATGAAAAACATATAAACACATGTAGAAACTAATGATCTTGACAGCCACAACCAAGAAGCTCCCGAAACGAAGCAACACAAAAGCACAGAACATTGGAAATATATAGGGTTACATGTGAAAAAAAATAAACAACTCTGAAAGCAATAAACTGAACCTGTCCGGGGCTTGGATGTTGACCCATCCCATATGGAGGTTTCCTGAAATAGAGGTACCCGCTGAGGTACCCCCAGTTCTTATCCATTTTAAATCCGGATTTGTCCATTCTAAACCACCCAGCTATTGGGGTACCCCCTTTTCAGGAAACCCCCATGTAGTCAATGGTAGTCCCACTATATGGTGTTTTTCGGTCATTATTGGCTACCAGGTTTTTTTTCATTGGGTACAATAAAATATCTGTGGTCCTTTCTGCATTTTAGATGTTGACCCATCCCATAACCCCATACCCTCTGGCATCCTGAAGTTCGGTAAATCAACAAACTTTCGTTCGGTGCCATGGCTGAAAAAGTTCGCAAACTGTAACAGTCATTACCAGAGGGTATATCCCATTCATATCCCATTGAATCACGATTAAAAATCCCATGAAATCACGATAAAATCCATATAAATCATCTATAAATAGGCCATAGGATCCATGGTGCTGGTAGGGGTATATTGATTGGATCCATGTTACCATATATAGCATACATGGATCCTATGGGATAGGCCATTGTCCATCTGTTAAATAACCGGTCAGCACCAGTTGAACCGCCTTGCGCTTCCAGCTTGCGCAGCTCCGTGGGAAGCTTGGCCAATGGGATGCGCCGTACCTGGATAAACTCGCCCTCGTCCAGGTCCTGGAATTTCGGGGAAGAACTTTGGGTGGGAATTTTGGGGGATTTCCATGGAATTTCCACGGTGAAATCATGGTGAAATAAGGTGAATTAAGGTGGGAAGATGGTGATTTCCATGGTGAAACTATCTTGGTGAAACATGGTGAAACAATTTCCATGGTGAAATGACATGGTGAAATTCTGAAATGAAATGGTGAATAGTGAATCATGGAATTCTAATGATTTAATCACTGGATGGCAAAATTGAAAGCGGCTTTACCATGTTTTATGGTGATGGTGATGAATGGTGATCACAAGTAAATTCTGGTTGGTGGTATACCTACCCCTCTGAAAAATGAGTCAGTTGGGATGATTATTCCCAATATAGATATATATATATAATTATCTATATATATTGTACTTTCTGGTAATTTCTTACACTTTGCGAACTTGAAAATGGCCCCAGTCAAAATAGTTGACTTACCCATTCACGATGGTGATTTTCCACAATTAGTTATGATGGCCATTTATAGTTGATTTACCCATTAAAACCTCTATTTATAGTGGATTTATCCATTGAAAATGGTGGATCTGTCCATGGTTTTTGGTTAACGTTTACCAGGCCGGGTATGTCTGGCGATTCTGATCTCATCACAGAACATGTTTTGGCAAATCAGTGGAGGGCTACCCCAAACCAGGAGTCTGGTAACTGGTTGGTGGTGCAATGTGCCCATCTTGAAAAATGATGGAGTTCGTCAATGGGGTTGGGATGACATCCCATGTATGAAATGGAACATAAAACATGTGCAAAAAACCACCAACCAGGGTAAATAGGTTTGGGCCGGGAGCTGGTGAACCCCATCTCTCATCATAGAAACCCGTTCTTAAATAAGGGGTTTCTCTTCAGAAACCCCTCTTTTTTCATCAACCAACCCATGGGAATTTGGGACATCCGATTTTCCGTGGGAATCCTCACAACATTATGACGAACAAGATATACCATCTGGTTATGACGAACAGGGCCAGCCATGGAAAGATCCACCATGCTATTAAGAACGGTAAACCATCTATTTCTATGGGCCATCTATACCATGGCGAACTGTTAGTCATAACCAGATGGGTATAATGTTTATTCATAATCACTAATTAACAGCAAAAAAACACCTTTCATAAACCATAGTAATCAATCATTGCTTTAATTATCAATGTTCAATTACCATACCTATTATTATTAAATATCTATAAATGCTGATTTTCCATGGCTGGCCCTGTTCGTCATAACCAGGTTGGCTAATGTCCCGAAAAAAAAAATTGACGATGCCCATGGGGATTTCACCATCTTTTAGCTGGGTAGATCCACTATTTCGACTGGGTCATGTTCAATCGCAAACTGGGTATGGGTCAAAACCCTGGTACCTAGTGAACCCCAAAATAGCTGGTAAATGGATGTTCATCCCACTAAAAATGTATCTATAGGTATTGACCCATACCCAACTGTTAGTTTACCAGAGGGTATGATATAGGGATAATAAGGGTTTGCGGATAGGGCGAATCAACAAAACATGGACATCTCATCATAGAAAATGGAAGTGTCATCAATAGAGATGCGGAGGCTAGCTCAACAAAAAACGAATTTCACCAACAAGAACTTGATTTGTAATGCACAAAAATGAACACTTTAGCAAAGTTGTTGCTACCAAATTTCAATGATCGAATTCAATTTATTTTACCATTTTGGATTGTCATCTAGTACACCAATAATTGAATTGTGTGGCGTTGCCACCAAACATGACGATCCAACATGGTGACACTCTCTGGGAATCAAACATGGCAATCGACAACTTGTGGAATTTGCTCACGTCTCAAGGGCAAATCATCTACATTGATCTGCAAACGGATTGATGTATATGCATTAAAGTTTTGGGGAAATCAATGGTTTCTTGCCACCGCATATCAGGACTTCCTGTCATGTTTTCCCTTGAATTTACAGGCACGGTCTTGACTTATACCAAATCCGTTGAAAGGTCAATAGCATTCAATAGCAACATTGGCTTATGGGAAAATAACCAAGACATCGCTATAAAAATGATGGCTAAAACGGTAAAACATGACCTAATGTATGTTTTCCCTTGCATCTATCCATGGAGGATACGAACTATGTACAAACATGGTGATCGTCTGATGTCTGGGTATGAGTCAAGCTGGGCAATCATGTTCATCCAACAACTTACAGGTGGCTAGACTATCCATGGGGAACGAATGACAACGATGGATAATCATGAAAACAAATAGTAACTACATCATAGTATGATATCTATAACTAAATGTAATTTCATATATGCCTTCATGATAATTAACTGAAAAATGTTATATATCTGGCATGTAATAATCCCACCACAATCACAAGAACCAGTGCGAAACGCCAGCTCTGCAATCGTGTCCTGGCGCGGTGTCTGGTTCTCCTTGGTGGCTGGAGAATCCTCCAGCACTAGTTCGATCATGTTCTAAGCGAATTAAACAATAAACCTCTACTGCTTGGTGGTTTTTCGCCCTACCCCTCTGAAAAATCATGGACAACTCGTCACTTGGGGTGGATTGAAATTCCCAATGGAAAGTCATAAAATTCCATGGTTCCAAACCACCAACCAGATATCTCATTAACCATTATTAACCATTATTAACCACTATTAACCACTAATAAACCACCAATAAACTTCTATATATTTTTCATAGGGATGTCCTGCTGCCATCCGTATACCGGAGGCAACGACCTACGACGCAAAAGCCCCGCACTGGAAGTCGTATCGGATCCTTTTTTTGTCTCAGATGATCTCCCCCGAACCAAACATTTTTTTTTTTTGCTTGTGAAAATCACCAGAAAATGTTCACCATTTCAATTAATATCCATGTCTTGATCAAATCTCCGGGTTTCAAAAAAAACAACCAGGTCACTTTTATCTCCAAAAAATGCCATAAGTTCACCATTGGAGATTCGAGGCACCGGGCGATCCAAATCCACCTCCAACACCACCAGTTTCACCTGGGAGTGTTGGACGAAAAAATCGCTCAAAACTCGGCCCAGAATCTGGAGAATTCATGATTCAATATGGCAGTGTGTCAAAACCTTGTACCCCTGGTGAACATCAAAATAGCTGGTAAATGGATGTTCATCCCACTAAAAATGGTATTAATAGGTATTGATCCATACCCATATGACTCATGTCATTCCTTTCCAAGTTTTTCTTGAAATTTCGAACTTGGAAAAAATACCCTCAAAAACACACAGGAGCCGGACCAGCATCAGTTCTTTTTCTCAAAAATGGTGCTGGCATGCAGGTTGCACTGGGGTATCAGTATTGACCTTTGGCCAATCGTTTCTTCAATTTTTGGAATGGTTCACATCGCGGGTCACCATATGCCCATCTGGGAGGTCAACTTAACAAAAAACATACAGACAGTGCCTCTATTGTGCTAATGATTATCAGGTTGGTGGTTGAGCCCTACCCCTCTGAAAAATCTGAAAGGCAGTTGGGGTTACTATTCCCAATATATGGAAAAGTAAAAAATGTTCCAAGCCACCAACCAGTTATATGATTGCTTCCACCAATCAAAAGCACCCATTACTCAAATATCAACTTTTGAGAAAAACATACATCTCCATCATTACCTAACGTTGCTCAAACATGTGGATTTGCCTGAACAAATCTGAAAATAGGATCCCCCATTCCATCCACTAGTCTAAAGTGTCCTTTTCTCACTTTTCCCATACTAAGAATTGCCATAACTGGGGATTGGTCCTCATTTTCAGACAGATCCAAGTATCATTTCAGATTGATTAGCTATAGTATCTATATCTATATCTATACCATCAAAAAAAAATAATTAAACACCATTGAACACCATATTAAACCACCATTGAACACCATTAAACCATATTAAACCACCATTAAACCAGCCCATTCCTGAACCACAGCCGGCAAAAAACCGAGTGACCGTCTCATCACTAATCCCCGGCGACATCGTCAGCGGCCCGTAGACCTGGGATGCGTGACCGTGGTAGCCTCCGGCGGCGGCTTCACGGCTGAAACGCGTCGACGAATGGCGGCCGATGGGCCGATGGGCCGATGGGGATGGGGACCATGCCATAGAGATTGGACTGTTGGAACATAGTTTTGTTGGAAAGTACATTGAGAAACATGTTTCATTGAGTGATCTAATTGGGTGATCTATTTATGTATCTATTTACTTTTGCAGTACCGTGCACAGAATAGTCGTAGGAGTAGTAGGAGTAGTAGGAGTAGTAGGAGTAGTAGGAGTAGTAGGAGTAGTAGGAGTAGTAGGAGTAGTAGGAGTAGTAGGAGTAGTAGGAGTAGTAGGAGGAGTAGGAGGAGTAGGAGTAGTAGGAGTAGTAGGAGTAGTAGGAGTAGTAGGAGTAGTAGGAGTAGGAGTAGTAGGAGTAGTAGGAGTAGTAGGAGTAGTAGGAGTAGGAGTAGTAGTAGTAGGAGTAGTAGGAGTAGTAGGAGTAGGAGTAGTAGTAGTAATAGTAGTAGTAGTAGTAGCAGTAGTAGTAGTAGTAGTACAATAGTACAATGGTGCAATAGAGCAATAGAGCAATAGTATAGTGGTATCATATCAAAACAGTAGAATAGCAAAATAGCACAATAGTACAAAGTCAAAGTATATAATTGTACAATAGCATCACAGTATAGTAGTAAATAAAATATTAATAATGAAATTAATTGTGCCGTAGTAAAATAGTACAGTAATAGTATGGTATAATAGTACTTAACAGGAGTATGATAATATAATAGTACAATATCAAAATAGTATATATATATAATAGTGTCATAGTATCACATTATCATAACATAATGATATACATTACGGTACAAATCATAGTATCATAGTATATCATAGTATAATAGTATGCATGACGGTACACTAGTAGAATACTATAATAGTAAAATTATTACAGTACAGTAGTATAATAGTAATACTAGTAACAATAGTAATACTAGTAACAATAGCAATACCAGTAGTAAGATTGATAGTAAATTGATAGTAAACGCAAAGAAATATGTGTCATTACCATTGTAAGGTACGAGTAGGGGTCAAACCCTGACATGCCCAACAAAAAACCGCGAACTTCATATCACCAAATAATATATTCGACATTTTTTGTGGATCAATGATGTTTTTACGTACCACACTCTTGACCCATGCCCTCACCGACCATACTGCGAATCGGTAATTACCCATGACCTCACATATCTTCGGTATTAATGTGGGTAAAACAATGCCATTTTTACTACCCATGATTGGGAATGGTAACCATACCACCTATAAAAGTGGTGATGACTGGGGGATGGTGCGTTTATATGCGTTTATGGCATTGTTTTACCCACATTACATGACATTACGCGTGCAGCGACGAAGCGATATATTTGTCTACGCTTAAGCGATACTGATCTTTTGCTACGCTAACCACCGATAAAAATTGCTACGCTTGCAACACATACCTTGCGTTCTATGCTAACCAATCTTTTGCTGCGCTTGCGCATATCTTGCACGCTACACAAAAAATTGCCCATGCTACGTTAACAGATCTTTTGCTCCGCTTGTGAATAATTACCTTGCACATACATCTCATACTTTTGTTGTAGTCATTTCCCTCTTAGAAACCTCCGTGGTTCATTCACATTTTGCTCAAAGAGAAAAATATCATGGAGGAACCAACGAAAACCTGTGGAAGTGGGCCTGGTTCGCGTCCAGTGGAGGCACAATGCTTCCATTGTGAGTTCGATGCCATCTGATGTGTCCGTTGAACGCACATTTCCAAGCTTTGCTTTCGGATGTGAACAACAAATGATCGTTTCGCCTCAGCGACACAATAATTCATTCATATTGAATTGGCCCATGCAGTACGAAATTATGGGTCTGAAATCGATTCCAAAGATAAACATCACAAAACACCTTGCGTTTTTTTTTAATTGACACTTCAGGGTGCCAGAAAATGAAGATCGACAGTTCCAGGGCGGCCATGTCTCGCCGCCAAAGCCTTGTTTTATGACAACCATTTCAATGGTCACTGGATGACCTGGATGAGTTGGGGGAACCATGATCCATATACCCTCTGGTTATTTAACATAGCCATGATGTCATGGTATAGATGGCCCATAGAAATAGATGGTTTACCTATTCAAAATGGTGATTTTCCATGGCCAACTGTTAAATAACCAGATGGTACCCCAAACGTGACGAAAAGGCACCAGCGAAACCATCTACTGCTGCCAATCGACCGGTTTCCTCCTTGAGCTCGCGTACTGCAGCCTGCTATGTGAAGTTGCCCTATGGGACCATTTGGACATTGGGATAGGGGATGAACATCCATGGGGTCTAGCCTCTCACATTTTTCCTGGTAAGCCTTTTTTGTATGCAGGATTTGAGCCATTTCACAGACAAAAAACAACCAGTTTTTCCAAACATGTTTTGTTGTTGTTTTTTATTCCGCGACTCATATGTTGACATGTGTTGACATGTATTGACATGTGTTGGCATATGTGTACATATACTGACCTGTTTGGACAGCTTTGGATTACTATGTTGGGCAATACCACAAGGAACAAAAATAAACACGTTAGAAAGAAATGTCCTTACCCCCTCCCCTGGATTGTAGAATGAAGCCAAGAGGGATCCAAATATCATGTTGTTTTACTACATCCTCCATCCCATCAAAACAACGAACATGATGTTTTTGTTTCATTGAAACCCACAACCCCCTAAGTTTACTACGTAAATCCCATGGAAATCCCATCGAAATTCGAACAACATGTGCCAATTTTCAATGATGGTCAATTCAGTCAATTCCCAATGTTCCATATGGTTTTTCCCATGATTTTTCCCATGACCAGCGTCCCAATCGCCTCCTCGGCCGTCTCGCCCTTGTCGATGAGACCGGCCGGCAGCTCGGCGGTGCAGGAGTCCACGGGGGGACGGAACTGCTGCACCTCCAAGGAGATACCCTCTGGTAATAGGGCCATAGAAATAGTGGATTTTCCCATGAAAAATGAAAATTGTCCATAGTTATGTTAGTTAGTATGAACAATGATGTTCATGGAGGAAAATGGTTCATAAATGGGTTAAGCACTATAAATGGTGATTTAATGGTTATTAATGGTGCCAAATGGGCTAACAATAATGAACAATGTGGTGGAATAGCTATAAAATATTCGGGGAATAGCTATTCTTTAATAGTTTAATATTAACAAGTATTCATATATGATCCAAATGTTCATGGAGGAAAATGGGAATGTCATGGGACAATGGTGATTTAATGGGTTTTAATGGGATTTAATGGTGATTTAAAATGATATACCCTCTGGCAATTTAACATAGCTATTGAAAATGGCCATAGAAATGGTGGATTTACCCATTGAAAATGGTGATTTAAAAATGATGATCAATATCAATGATTATCAATATCAATATGGTTATCAATGATTAAATTAATGATGGGCATATGGTTATCAATGGGGAACTTGAATATTAAATTGATAATATATGAATAATTCACATTGTATATTAAATTAATGATATATATATATATTCTATACTTGTATGAATATTGTACATATTGAATATAATGATCCAAAAATATGTTAAATTGATGATATATATTCAAGAATGGGAATATATTAAGTAATGGGAACATAATTGAATATATTAAATGTAGATATTAAAGATATTATAACTAGTAATTATAAATGGGAATGAAATGAATGAATCATATTCTGTTTATTATAATATTCCAGAATATGATAAACCATGGGAATATGATTATCAATGGAGAACTTGAATATTAAATTAATGATTTATTAATAACGGGGAATATATTCATATTGGGAATATAATCATGTTTATTATATGAGTGATAATTATAAATGGGAATGATAAATGGGAATGAATGAATCATATTCTGTATATAGTAATTGTTTATTTATCATAGATTGTCCCATTATTAATGTGAATTCCCATTATAATTCACATGAAATAATGATAATCAATATATAATCCCAATATTCAAATTATATTAGTGGGGATTATAATGGGAATATACGTATGTATTTATCATCGAATATAGTCCCATTTATGTTTTTATGATTCATGGAAAGATTATTTAATGTGAATTTAATAGGATTTATATGAATGTAATTAAAGGGAATTGAATGTGTATGCCCATGATTGATGTGATTTCCAGTTCAATAATTTCCATTATTTACTATTGTCTATCATTGATATTCCCATCATGACTCCAAATGATATATTGATTTCATAATTGATGTAGACAATATTTCATTATTATCACATTACATTGACAATTTTGTTGTATCTCAATTTCAGAATGGGGTAAGTATACCATTTAAGTATCCGATTATCATTAAGTATTCCATGATATAGTATAATGATCACTTGTGATTCATCTAAATGATCATGGATTATAATTACCGTTATTTATATCCCATTATTCCATTCAATATTCCATGAGTCCCATGTCCAATAAATCCAATATTGACCGTTCTTGTCGCAACCACCATAAAGAAAGCCATGTGTTTGTGTTCTTCCGGGATGTTATAGAGTTATAGATGATGTGTCCGCTACATATTTCCGGGTTATTTTCCAGGTTTCCCGCTTTTCGGCATCTTTTTGAGGCTGACAAAACACCAACCGAAGAAACTAAACCAACCAATTGCGTGCTTAATATTAAAAAATACCATCATCTACCCTCTGGTTATGTCAAAATAGCTATTGAAAATGACCATTTATAGTGGATTTTCCCATTGAAAATGGTGATTTTCCATAGTTATGTTAGTTTACCAGAGGGTACTGTTACCCACTCATGGTTTGGAAATTGTCATTCAAAAGCCGGTCGAGTTGGAAAAAAAACGCTTTTCGACGGAGAGTAGATGATTATGGAAGGATGAAATGGTTCATAGTAGATACATGATATAGCCTCTGGTAAACTAACATAGCTATGGAAAATGGCCCATAGAAATAGTTGATTTACCTATTAAAGATTGTGATTTTCCATAGCTATGTAAACGTTTACCAGAGGGTGCATGACTGGTTGGTGGTATACCTACCCCTCTGAAAAATATGAGTTCGTCAGTTGGGATGAATATATGGAAAAAAAATGTTCCAAAGCACCAACAAATGATATACACATGATTCAATTGAGTCCCCGAAATGCCCACTTGGGATCAAAAGGGATGCTGTAGGAGGGGCCTCTGTGTTCTGATAAGTTTGACAATGGAACGCATCATGGTAGCACTGCAAACCTATAAGCTTCCACGAGTCCTCTTCTGAGAAGCACACAAGAAAATTGGCAATCCTCCAACTCTATCCGCGAAGAAGAAAAGCGATGGAAAAGTGGTTAGTCAGTGGATCTTAGATTCTGTTAGATGCAGTTAGTACTAAGATCGGTGTAAATGGTCGATCGCTGGGTTATACAAGCCCCGGTGTGGGATAAAATCAACCAAAATGGGGAATGTCAGCCATTCCATCAGTTTTTTTTATACTTGGTAACTGGCTTCTATCCCTAGCCATCCTAGCTTGAGCGGTTCATTTTTGATGGCATCAACCATCATAAATCGCTATGTCACAGCTATCTCCCCATCCGCCCACCAGCAGCGTCTCCACCAGCTGCTGCTTCTTGGAGCGCAGCAGGGGTAGAATGATCACCGCATCCACGCCGGCAGCCACGCGGGAGTGGCTCTTGGTGGTGCGACTTACCACGTCCCAAGCACGCTCCGTGCCCTGTTGATCACCTCAGGCTAAGTGGGATGCCGAACATGGGGAGAAAAGAAATCATGATAATGATTCAATGGCCATTCCAGGAACCTAAATTGGAGGTACCTACCATATATAAGGCCTATATAAGGCCTATGTAAGGGAATATCCCCCAAAATATGGCCTTATATGGTACAGTACCTCCATTTTAGGATCCTGGAATTCCCATTGAATGATGAAAGTGTGAGCAGATTCTTTTTATCCTGAAAAAGAAGATGATGTGGAAAACAGGGCCCTTCTACTAGTTCTTCGGAATTCCAGCTTGTGTCATCCGTGTTGAAGAAAAGAAACATAAAACAAATCCGGCCAAAGAAAGGTTTCACAAATAATCTAAGACATTACAATCACTGTTGAGCTACCTTCCATATGATCATATGATATCATAATCATATGCAAGAAAACTCTAGATTCTGAAACAGCAACAAGCGCCGAGGCCTACTCATCATGGTTCCCTTTTTGCAATCCATCATAGTTTGCTCTGAGGCAAGAAGTGATTTTGTTGCAATATGTCTGTGGCAAAAGCACAATCCCATCCAAAAATGGTCCCATGACGAGGGAAGGACATGGTGGAAGATCTCAGGTTGGGAAAGAACTTGATGGGTCAAAATCTTTCGACTTTGAACGCCACTTATACATGGCTTCATTTACCTTCTACAGCTTGGTCTAAAGGGATCTAACGTTTCTCCATTTTTGCCATCCACTGGTTATTTAACAGTTTGCTATGTAAAATCATCAAACTGTTTTGGAAAATCATCCATATATCAGAAATATATCACAAATGGACCGTTTTCCTCCATGTTCCATACATGTTCCATACATTTTCCTCAATGTTCGCCATAAATTCCTACGCTGACCACCATTGTTTTCCCCTCATCAAATCCGAAGCTCGGTAGGTCAACGTTTGCAGCTTCAACCAGCGTGTGGCGGCCACGTCCTGGAGGAGCTGCAATGGGCATGGGCATTAGGTGATGACAACCATCTATGTCACTTAAGGGTATAGTATATACCATTTGGTTATTTAACATAGCCATGGAAAATCACCATTTTTTATAGGTAAACCATCTATAAATGGGCCATTTTCCATGGCTATGTTAAATAACCAGAGGGTATATATATATATATAGTAAGTATATAACCCCACCAGTTAGCCTCTGGTAATTTGTTAACTATGGAAAAACACCATAGTTAAATAGTGAATAGCCATAAAATGCTATGAATGAGTGACCCAGAAATGAATAGATCCATTAACCAAATGCTATAAATTTACAATCATTTTATGTAGCTATAATAACTATGTACAATTATAATGCCATTACTATGCCATTATTAATTTTAGAAAATATATTATGTAGCTATTATAATAATCATTTTAATAATAATATATTTGTTATAGCTACATAATACATATATATATGTGTTGATGAGAACCAGAATGACAACCATCATTTAGCCATACATGTTAGTTGCACATTTAGCTATACGTCAACCGTCATCGACCATGCACCAACGTACCTGAAACACGACCAGCATCGGGGTGGCTCAAAAAGGCTCTGGATCAAAAGCAAACATCCATACCCCAATAGGGTCTATAGACATGGCAAAATTTAGTGTTATATATATATATATTATATTTATATCTATAACATCTATACAGAGTTTGGCTGGAATTGGTCGTTTTGCAAGATTGGATCATCAGACTCAGACATACTCTGACAATATCAATGTTTGAGGTTTTTTGAGTCTTGACTACTCACTAAAGATCACTAAAGTATTAAAAGGGTACAGCATGGCCAAAATTGAGCGCAGTCATCTTGAGCATTTCCAATTCAACCATACTCAACCTATAGACATCGGTTTACTGACCCCCCAAAAAATCTTGGAAAGGATCAGCAGAATCATCTCAATCCATCCAGCCATTTTCACCCAGCGTTTTGTCACGGTGGCACTCGGCACGTCGCGTGCCGTCGCTCCTTGGTTTTTGCATGGTCCACTTTGGGAAAGCCAGTGGCCCGCACCTGTACACGGGAGGTGGAATGACCAGCCAAGCAGAGAACCGGGATCCAGCCGCTAGTGATAAATAGTGGTTAATAATTGAGTGAATAATGATAATTAACCACTATTAATGATGAATCACTATGAAAATTGGGCATTATAATTATGCTAACCACTAATAATCATTAACCATAATAATTGTGATTAATACTGGTTAATAATGGCTGATACATAATGATTAATAAGTTGCCCTCCGGTGTCAAAAGGGGCAAGGGGGAAAATCCCTCTAAATGGAGGTGTATAGCTGGGAAAATCATCGAACTAAATCGAGGATTTTCCGGCAAGCCATGTTTGATGAGGGTTAGTAACTGGGATGAAGTTGGAAAATATGGAAAAACTACCAAAGAACCATAAAGTACCAATGTAGCAACCGGCTGGTACAGCAAGTAGCCTCTATATATAAACAAATGAAACATGCCATATTTCACAATTCGTCGGGTTATGGGCTTGCGGGCTTGCGGACAGATTTAAGGGAATGCTTACGCGGCAGCTTACGCACCCGCAGTTTCGGCTTACGCGCGGGAATAGCTTTCGCTGATGCTTCCGCGGGCAAGCCCGCACACCAGGGTTTTGCTTACGCGAGGTCCTTATTGCCACCCTCAAGGGCTAAAAATGTTTTTTTGAGCTTTTCTTACTGGTGCTTAGCAGGGAATTTTCGGGAATGATCCATAATCACTAGTAATAATCATCCCATCCCCCCATTCCTATCCATTCCCTACGTAAAACGTACCAGTAAGTTTTGGACGTGGCAGCAAAAAAGTGTTGTAGCCTGCATCATCTGGTCATCCATGGCACTTGAAAAATCCATCAAAATCCCTTAGGCCTCATCCATATGGGTGTAGGACATGCCCAAGAAACTGCCGGAGGCCGCTGCGGCCAACACGCGACATCGCGAAGCCAACATGGCCCGATTTTTCAGTGTTGATCAGCAAAGGTTTTGTGGAATTTGGAGATCATAAATTTACATATCAACTAGGAATATATATTGATATATCTATAACTAACTTCGTTATCGATTATAGCTATGGTAGAATATATATATATATGATTATCATATTATCATATGATACCATCAATTAGCATGGAATTGGAATATCAATCATCAAACCAACGTGCTCTCGGTGCAGTGGCGGTGCAGTCGGTGGATTCCAAGTCCAGCAGTTCGATCTCGACAGGCCATATGGGGGGTTCCATAGTCATGGGGCTACCCCAAGCGAGCTTAGGATGGTGGAAAATTCATGGAAAATCCCAATCTTTTTTGTGCATGATGACTGGGATATCTACTCTCCAGGATTGATCATTCCCAGCAAATCGCCCAATTGTCCACTGCCACCAGTCGTCATTTCTGAGCCCAGCAAGGCGACAGTTTTCACCGTGAGTGATCGGTGCTTGTGCCATGAAATATGATTCGAAAGTCGCATCGCATACAAATGATTCAATATACATCAACCCACCATCTTGGAACAATTCAACTATCCGGTTGTCACGAATATCAACGAACCTTGAAACGTAGCCACCACTGACTGGGGGCAAAGCCTCCAAGTGAGCAATGCCCCGCTGACCCTTGTTGTTTGGTGCTGCCTTTTGGGTGTTTCAAAATAGTTTGCTTGGGTCATTATTGTCCAGAAACTTGGAACGCCCACGAACCAGCAATTGGAATCCTTCGCGGAACCAACTGTATCACCAAATTCTTCTAGTGATCCATGCATCTATGTTGACAAGTGGGCGATTTACCAACATACTGTGGACGGAAGAAATCCTGCACCAGTTGATAGGTGGTTAATCCCATTATTTCTAGGGTTTCAACCATCCGTTTGGTGGTGCAGGATTTCGCAACCATCCACCGTAGGTGATGATTTTTTCAATTTTTTCTTTGCCAAAGCCACCGGTTGTACTCATCAACTTTTACATAACCCACCATGAACCAACCATTGTGTTTCACCATCCCTTGTACCGTTCACCAACTGTTACATAACCAACATGAAGCAACCATGAACCAATCATGGCTTAACAATGGTTCATAATAGTTAATATACTGTTACTGATGATGGTTAATGATGATGGTTAATGATGACGGTTATTATATGGTAAATGATGGTTAATAATAATCTGCTTGGTGGTTGAGCCCTACCCCTCTAAAAAATATGAAAGTCAGTTGGGATGATGAAATTCCCAACTGAATGGAAAATAAAATTCATGTTCCAAACCACCAACCAATCATTATCATGTCAGGCTTCACCCTCCGCACCTTCCTTCATGGTCGGAAGATGAACCTCCCAGCAGCAAGTATCTGAGCAATCCCAATCCAAATATCTGGGTAAATTATAATATTTCACTAACCTGAAGTAAGGCCATTTGGGGATCATTTCCCTTACTAACTATGATTTACCCAGAAATATGTTGTTCAACGAGGTATTTGCTTTTTTTCAAATATCTTAAGTGGGATTGAAATGGATTGAAAACATCCCAATGATCTTGGGAAAATGATGCTGAAAAAGTCTTCGAAGCGTATTGGATAAACTTACAGTACCCCGTCATGTCGTTTCAAAACATCGCCGCATGTTTTTTAGTTGCTGATCATATGCCTCCCTTTTTACTACTTTTTACCATCGCAGACACTCCAGTTTTGTTGATCAAACATATGCAAAAGTTCCCCATTTTTGCCCAACACTCCTTTTTAAATCCCTGGGAAATCCCCATGATGCTTCGAGGAAACATCCCAGATTAGCCACATGTTTTCTTGGTGAAATGCATATGTTTGATGCTTGAATCTCCCACTTTTGATGGTTGAACTCACCACTCTTGTCCCGTTCAATCCACATGTTTGTTGGATAAACCAGGCTAAAGCCACCATTTTTCTCCGCTTTTCTCGCGTGGCTTTTCTGTGTTCGGTCGCGTCTCAGGCACGTGCAGCCTGCACTTGCCAGTAGACCCAGAACCACAGCGCACCCGAAGCCACTGCAAGTAGGGCCACGGTTAGGAAGGGCGCCTGAAGCTGTCAACAGGGGGGACCCAACTTCCTAGAAGTTACTATCCTTGTTCGGGAAAATGCTGATTTAATTGGAGCAAAAAAAGGCATTCAATCGGAGTTTCATGGGATTTGATCGGCTTTTTTATGGGATTTGATAGGAACTTGACGGAATTTCATGTGATTTAGTATAGAACTTGGGGTGCAGTTGAAGGTTTATGAATGGGGCATGGGGATAACCATGGGCTTCAAGAACCCCCAAGGAGTCTCTAATTGTCCGATGAAAACATGTGAAAACCATCATTTTGGAGATGGAAAGGGAGATATCATGTATCATGAGTTTACTTACATTTACAAAATTATGTGAAAGCAGTCAGTTTTCAGATATTCAAAAATCAGGGAATTTCATGGGATCAGATGGCGCACAACCTGTGCTAAAGCCTATACTCCTATACATTTCTTTGGTGGGGCCTTCCTGGCGAGCCAGATGCATTTCGGTGAAGCTCAGGGTCTTCTGTCGAAATGGGAGACCCCCAAACCCAGGACTTGCTCAGTTGTCCAATAAACTGGAGCATGAAATATCGATTTCCATAAATCAATGGCCATTTCAGGAACCTAAATTGGAGGTACCTACCATATATAAGGCCTATGTAAGGCCTATGTAAGGGAATATCCCCACAAAATATGGCCTTATATGGTACAGTACCTCCATTTTAGGATCCTGGAATTCCCATTGAATAAACTACATTTTGAAAACACACGTTCCGTTTGACCCCAACTTGAATCCCCTCCCCACATCACATTCATCAAATCCCAGGTTGAGCCAGAAACCATTGGCGACCCCTGGGATCGACGGCTCTTTTGGGAAACGCCACGCCACCGCGTGGGACACTTTCTCGTACATCGTGGCAAACGGCACGGTGTCCTTGACCGCGCTGGACTGATCACTGTGACAGGTTTGGGTTCCGGTCATGTCAAGTGGAAACATATCATCCCATCTTTGGGGTATCTTAAAACACATGATCTGCTTGGTGGTTGAGCCCTACCTCTCTGAAAAATATGAGTTCGTCAGCTCGTCAGTTGGGATGATGAAATTCCCAACTGAATGGAAAAATCATCCAAATGTTCCAAAGCACCAGTTATACAGAACTGATCCTAAGTTGCTGAGTACAGTTCTCTAACTTGGTAAGTTCCATGCAGAAATGCACAATGGCAATCATTTCGGAGCTCGTGGCAACATCTTTCCAGCTGTGCAATGCCATGGCTCCAAAACTCGTGCAGCAGCTTGGAATGTGGACAAAGTGCCCAAGGCCATGCCTAAGGTGGGGAAAACCATTGATATCCCGGCTTTTTTGATTCCCCCCTTTTTTGGAGATGATTCTATAAATACCTTCCACATAGCCCCAGATGGTAAGAATGAAAATTGGGTAGATGATGATAGATGCGGCAGTGGTTGCTTATTGGCCCACATTGCCGGAAAGATCTAGGCCTTTTTTGAAGCCTCTCAAATTCGGCTTGGAATCCCTGGAGCTCCGTTCCGGGGCTTCTTGTTGCTGGATATCCCCACTCCAAAGCACCTGGCGCCAAGTTGCCATAGGCTGACTGCCCTACCACCTCCGGGCACGGAGGCGATGGGCGACCAAAATCCGCTCATCAGTATCCCTAAGAAATTGCCATAAGAGGGGAAATACCCCCTCCATACATCTGGGTAAATTATCATATTTCATGAAAACCTAAAAATCTTGCGGCCATAAAAGGGGATGATTTCCCTCAAATAAACCAGGCTTCGGGAGAACGGTGAGGTCGTGATCAAATTTACCCTGATACATGTGTTTAAAAGCCCTTTCTTGATGGTGAAACCACCATGGCATCCACCTTTTTGCTGCTAAAACTACCTCAAAATCCAGGTGAACCAGTAAAAAATACCCCGTTTTCCCATCTCATTATACTGGTTGGTTGAAAATGGTTTCCCTATTACTATGGTTTATCATCATCCAAAATAAATTACATATCATATATATATATATATACGTAGATTGAGCTAGAAACTCCCTTTATTCACCGATCAACCAGGGTATAACTTTCATGACGATGCTTTCCACGTGACTCAAGTTGGCTTATAAAACATTATAAAACTCTATTAATTAAAAATTATAACCCTATTAACTATGATTCATTTACCATATACACATATTTCCCATAGATAGATTTCCAATAGATGGATACTCTATTAATTATAACTATAACCCTATTAACTATGATATGTCCCATGAATTTCCCATAGATTTCCCATACCCTCTGGTAAACGTTCACATAACTATGGAAAATATCACCATGTTTCATGGGAAAACTCACTATAAATGGCCATTTTCCATAGCTATGTTGACATAACCAGAGGCTAACCCCTCCTTTCATGGCGTTGTGAACTGCTCAAGGTTTCACATCCGCCTCAGTCAGCAGCGCCGAGAGGTTGGGCGCCGCCAGGCAGTCACCGGTGACCACCACCAGCTGCGCAGCCAGGAACCACCACCTGAGGTGCGGAAAGATGGAGATAATTGGATGATAGCCATGGAAAATCCCTCATCAATGGAGGTTTCTAGCTGGGAAAAATCATCTATAAAATGATCACCGATCACCACGTTTGAAAGGAAAAAACTGACTGGTGCGTGCTAAACGTAGGGTTGCTGGATGGGTTGCTGGGGTGTGACATTTCAAGATGGGTCAAAATGGCAAAAAAAACATGTAAATTCACAGGAGATCATGGGATAGATGGGATATAATGGCTATGGGATAATTAATGAGATTAGAATCGACATTAAGAAACTAGAATTAAACCAACATTGACCAATGAAACATAGGATAAATAAAATATCATGGAACAAACGATGGAATATTATGGGATATTTGATGGGAAATCATGGGATATATTAAAGCAAAAAATGAAATATAGCGGCAAAATACGGGGATATCATGGAATATTTGATGGAATATAGTAGGAATATGTGTATATATATATATATACATACTATATTTATACAGTGATGGAATATACTGGGAAGCAATTCGATGTGTCTGAACATAGGGTTTACATCCCCATGATTGTTCGGTGTTCTTTTTGTTAGGCTGCTAGACTTAGATTCTGAAATACACTATCTATTGGATGGCTTCGGCCCTGAAAAAAAAACAGTGAGTCACTGATCTTTAACGATTCTCCCCTAGTGAAGATGTGCCAGTTTCTCAACAGCAGTTGGATGGATTCGGAACTCTTTTAGTGTTCCTCCAGCATCTCGGATGGCAGGGGTTTGTCTGATGGGATCTCCCACGATATTTGGATATATTTGGATCATCATGTTCGAAAATTGCCATAGAAATCGGAGGTATAGACAGACCCAAAATCCCTGGTTCAGTTAAAAGAACAACTAAACCACACTAAATCCTCAAGTATCAACACAGCTAAATGTTCACCATAAATTCGGTTTTTCGTTAAATACAACTAAAATCACCTTTTGTAGATAACTTAAATCCATGGTGAAGGTATTAAATGATTAAATCAGCTAAAACCATTTCTTTGGTATCCTCATGTTTCACATTTTTTGCTGGTGACATCCATGGCAAACTCAGCCAGCCACTTGGTGGGAGCTGCCGCTAGACCAGTGTAACCAAAGATCCGAAGGCCAATACCTCGAGTGGTCCCAGTGCCGGAACGGGGAACTTGCTTGGGTGAAAATATGGGTGCAGCATAGGTGAAAACTATGAAATCTACTAAGATTTCCGAAGTACAACAAGTCAGCCGGAAGCATGGCTACCTGATTTCATTAGGGATCAGAAAAACCTTTTAGATGGATGGATATCATTTAATATAATATAATATAATATAGTATTATATATATATCATTATCAAAGGAAGTTGGGAAGCAATACTTCCGAGTTACGAATGACTTTTACTTGATGCAATTGACTATGATGAAGGGTGGTAGATCACAGAACAATACATTATCTAACAATACACAACAAAAGAATAAGAAGCTATGACACAGGGTGGTGACGAAGGGAAGTGGTGAGGAAGGGAAGTGGTGACGAAGGGAAATGGTGACGAAGGCAAGTGGTGAAGAAGGGAAGTGGTGACGAAGGGAAGTGGTGAAGAAGGGAAGTGGTGAGGAAGGGAAGTGGTGACGATGGGAAGTGGTGAGGAAGGGAAGTGGTGATGACGGGAAGTGGTGAGGAAGGGAAGTGGTGACGAAGGGAAGTGGTGAAGAAGGGAAGTGGTGATGAAGGGGAGTGGTGACGAAGGGAAGTGGTGAGGAAGGGAAGTGGTGGAGAAGGAAAGTAGTGACGAAGGGAAGTGGTGAAGAAGGGAAGTGATGATGAAGGGGAGTGGTGACGAAGGGAAGTGGTGAGGAAGGGAAGTGGTGAAGAAGGGAAGTCGTGACGAAGGGAAGTGGTGAAGAAGGGAAGTGGTGACGAAGGGAAGTGGTGAGAAGGGAAGTGGTGACGAAGGGAAGTGGTGAAGAAGGGAAGTGGTGACGAAGGGAAGTGGTGAAGAAGGGAAGTGGTGACGAAGGGAAGTGATGATGAAGGGGAGTGGTGACGAAGGGAAGTGGTGAAGAAGGGAAGTGATGATGAAGGGGAGTGGTGACGAAGGGAAGTGGTGAAGAAGGGAAGTGGTGACGAAGGGAAGTGGTGACGAAGGGAAGTGGTGCGCATTGGAATGGCTGCATGAATGTTACATGGGCTATGTTGTGGGGAGGAAGCCGGAGCACGAAACCTTGTGTTTTTCGGTGTAAAGTGGCTGCAGCCGGCGATGAAAGGTACCTCGTCTGTGCGGCGGTTGCGGCTGCGGTCGTTCCGGACGCGATTGGTTCCTCCTATGGGTTTTGCAAGAATCTTTGTTCCTGTGTGCGTAGTTCTATGCGTTTCTTGCAGCTCTGGTTGCAGATTGCATTGGAATGGTTGCATGAATGTTGCATGGGCTATGTTGTGGGGAGGAAGCCGGAGCACGAAACCTTGTGTTTTTCCGTGTAAAGTGGCTGCAGCCGACGATGAAAGGTACCTCGTCTGTGCGACGGGTGCGGCTGGGGTCGTTTCATGCGCGAATTGGTTCCTCCTATGTGTTTTGCAACGAGTGGTTGTGTCTGTCTGCGTAGTTCTATGCGTTTCTTGAATCTCTGGTTGTGGATCGCATTGGAATGGCTGCATGAATGTTGCATGGGCTATCTTGTGGGGAGGAAGCCGGAGCACGAAACCGTGTGTTTTTCCGTATAAAGTGGCTGCAGGCGACGATGAAAGGTACCTCGTGTGTGCGGTGGGTGCGGCTGGGGTCGTTTCATGCGCGAATTGGTTCCTCCTATGTGTTTTTTGCAAGAATTCCTTGCTCCTGTGGTGCGTAGTTTTCAATGCTTTTCTTTGCAGCTTGGTTGCAGAGTCGCCTTGGAATGGCCTGCATGAAAATTTTTGCTGGCTATGTTGTGGGGATGAAGCCGGAGCACCGAAAAAACCCTTGTGTTTTCCGTGTAAGGTGCTGGAGCCCGACGATGAAAGGTACCCATCGTCTGTGCTAACGGTTGCGCTGCGGTCGTTCGGACGCGATCTGTTTCCCCTATGGGTTTTGGGGCAAGAATCTTTGTTCCTGTGGCATAGTTCTAATGCGTTCTGAATCTCTGGTTGCAGATTGCATTGGAATGGTTGCATGACGTTTCCTAATGGGCTAGTGTGGGGAGGAAACCGGAGAACGAAACCTTGTGTTTTTTCCGTGTAAGTGGCTGGAGGGCGACGATGAAGGTACCTCGTCTGTTGCGACGTTGTTGCGGCTGCGGTCGTTCCGGACGCGATTGGTTCCTCCTATGGGTTTTGCAAGAATCTTTGTTCCTGTGTGCATAGTTCTATGCGTTTCTTGAAGCTCTGGTTGCAGATTGCATTGGAATGGTTGCATGAATGTTGCATGGGCTATGTTGTGGGGAGGAAGCCGGAGCACGAAACCTTGTGTTTTTCCGTGTAAAGTGGCTGGAGGCGACGATGAAAGGTACCTCGTCTGTGCGACGGTTGCGGCTGCGGTCGTTCCGGACGCGATTGGTTCCTCCTATGTGTTTTGCAAGAATTCTTGCTCCTGTGTGCGTAGTTCTATGCGTTTCTTGCAGCTCTGGTTGCAGATCCCATTGGAATGGGTGCATGAATGTTGCATGGGCTATGTTGTGGGAAGGAAGCTGGAGCACGAAACCTTATGTTTTACCGTGTAAAGTAGCTACAGCCGGCGATGAAAGGTACCTCGTCTGTGCGGCGGTTGCGGCTGCGGTCGTTCCGGACGCGATTGGTTCCGCCTATGTGTTTTGCAAGAATGCTTGTTCCTGTGTGCGTAGTTCGTTTCTTGAAGCTCTGGTTGCAGATCACATTGGAATGGCTGCATGAATGTTGCATGGGCTATGTTTTGGGGAGGAAGCCGGAGCACGACACTTTGTGTGCTCAACGTTAGTCGGTGCCACGGCTGCATGCGTAATACTATTGTCTTTTGCAGCTGAACATCGTCAATCGTAATGGAGTGGCTGCATCAAAGCTGCGAAAGTGATTTGTCAGCAATTTTTCTCAATTTTGGCGCTAATAATTGTCCTTTTAAAATTCCTAACTTTTAAAAAGTGCTTCAAAATCGTTTTTTTATTGCCTTGGCGTCGAGATCCGGTTTTGGGGCTGCAATTTCCGACACCTTGCGTGTAGTTCTATTGTGTTTTGCCACTCAGTCTCTGCAGGTCGCATTGTAGTGGCTGCGTCAAGGTTGCTCGGCGCCGCGGCTGCATGCGTAATACTATTGTCTTTTGCAGCTGAACATCGAAAATCGTATTGGAGTGCATGCATCCAGGCTGCGAAAGTGATTTGTCATTAGATTTTCTCTATTTTGGCGCTATTATTTTTTCTTTTCAAATTCCTTTTAAAAAGTGCTTCAAAATCGTCTTTTTGTCGCTTTGGCGTCGAGATCCGGTTTTGGAGCTGCAATTTCCGACGCCATTGCGCGTAGTTTTATTGTGTTTTGCAACTCAGTCTCTGCAGGTCGCATTGTAGTGGCTGCGTCAAGGTTGCTCGGTGCCGCGGCTGCATGCGTAGTACTATTGTCTTTTGCAGCTGAAGATCGTAAATCGTATTGGAATGGCTGCATCCAGGCTGCGAAAGTGATTTGTCAGCAGATTTTCTCAATTTTGACGCTAATAATTTTCCTTTCAAAATTCCTTTTAAAAAGTGCTTCAAAATCGTCTTTTTGTCGCTTTGGCGTCGAGATCCGGTTTTGGAGCTGCAATTTCCGACGCCATTGCACGTAGTTCTATTGTGCTTTGCAACTCAGTCTCTGCAGATCGCATTGTAGTGGCTGCGTCAAGGTTGCTCGGTGCCGCGGCTGCATGCGGCTGCATGCTGATAAAGTACAGTAAGAGAAGTTGCACGGAATACAGTTAGTTCATGCCGTGACGCACATAACCTTGCTATATCTCCATGTCTCTACTTATTGTATTACACGACAGGAGACTCATATTGCAGCTAAGCTCTGCTGTTAGAGAATCGCTTTGCCACCGTCCTCGTGCGACAGTGCGGTCCACGAGGGCAACCGCCATGGCTATCGGACCTTGCGACTTCTGGCGGTTGGCAGTCGATTTCGAATTGCTGGATCTCCATGCGCTCAGGAACGTGAGCGCTGCTTCGACAGCTACGAATGCATGTGTGCTGCAGAGCGCCAACCTTAGAAACTTGCTGCAACGCAAAGTGGAAGAGGAAGGAAATTTGGAGTCGCAAAACTTGAGGATTGACATTGGCTTCGAAGAAATGGCAGCTCTCAAGCATAGCTTGAAGATTGCATTGCACGTCTACAACGCGTTGCAAAATTCACTATGCTTCGCGTGCAGACGAAGTATCCCAACCGAGGAGCGCAGGAATATTGGTTTGGGTTACTTCAAATATGGACTCTGCGCTGGTTGTTTCGAAGCCTTGACAACTGTTTGCACGGAACAAGACGATACCTTGGCAGAACAGCGCTGCGTTGCCCTGACAGATGATGGTGTGCACGCTGCAGCCATGTTGTTGAGTGCTTACCGAGCAGGTGCAGAATGTCGTTTGTCGCAAGCAGATGCAGCTTGGGTCCGCAATGTCATTGCAGATAGTGAAAACTTCTTGCCTGATTTGCTTCGTGAAGTGCCCTGACGGACAACCAGGCTTCCAACGTGATAAGCTCTCCAGCCTTTCGTGCCAGTGCGGGCCGAAAAGCCGCCAAAAGCCTAGACGACCAAGTGTAGCGCAGAGAAAAAAGCAGCTGTCGAGCTTGGACTGCGTGAATCTCCTTGACAGGTAACAACTACACCATGTTCACACTTGCCGTTGCGATTTGATGCAATGCATCAACGCTTGGCATTAATGACCTCAATATTGTAAATATTTTATGGTCTACGCCTTTTGGCATGTAGAAGAACCAACATGAGTTACGCTCAACCTTGCTGACGTGCAGAAGCGCCGAGAAGAGCTCAGATGAGATGAAGTGTGGAGTGTGAAGAGTGCAGTGTGAAGTGTGGGGCGTGAAGAGTGCAGTGTGAAGTGTGAAGTGTGGAGTGTGAAGAAAGCAATGAGAAGTGTGAAGTGTGGACTGTGAAGTGTGGAGTGTGAAGTGTGGATTGGGGAGAGTGCAGTGTGAAGTGAGAAGTGTGACGTGTTGACTGCGAAGGGTGCAGTGTGAAGTGTGAAGACTGTCAAGTGTCAAGTGTGAAGTGGAGCTTCACATGTGACATGTGAAGCAGGACACAACTTTCGCAGAGTGCACGCACGCACGGGCTTGGCTGGCGCACGGCGCATGCAAGTTCTATAGATGAGAAAGGTCTCATATATATCTTTAAGGCAACTTCCGCCCCGCCTCGTGCGGGTACTACTGGTATATCTATATATGTATATGTAAATGAAACCATTGATCTCATTGTTGGTACTTACTGGTAGAGTCTATCCATCTATGTCAAGGAGAAACCTGCTGTCGCCATCCCCCAAGATCGCCATGTCAAGGCCAATGGGAGACTCAGGGTTGGATACCCAAAAAATTGGAACAAGAATCTGTACATGTTGGTCACCTCCAATATCTATAATATAATATAATATATATAATATAATATATATATATATGTCCTTGACATGTCCACAGCAAGATTTTTTTGAACATGATAGAACAGTTGGAAAGCTGGGCATTGTGAGGACACCAGTCAAGATCCAGCAGTTCCTTCCAGTGCTATTGACCTCTGCCGAAAAAAAGGCACCTAGAACCATCGTGCCCTTCTGTCTGAGGCGATGCCTCGGGGCGCTGCCATCCTACTTGGCTGTGAATCCGCTCATAGCATCGGGGTGAACCAAGCCGAAGTGGGATGAGCCACCGCCATTTGGGGAATCCCAAACACCTCTGAATGGCTGATTGGTGGTTTCAACATGTTTCAACCTACCCCTCTGAAATAGTCCAAAAATGTTCCAAAGAAACCAATCAGGTGGTGACGACTGGTGGGTTTATGAAATTGGGTGAATCATGGTGAATCCCACATCTCTATCGCTCAGTTCTTCCGCCTGTTGAAATCGGATTCCGGTGGATCCAAGCCGCAAAAATACGCCATCCATTTCTGCAAAACTGCGCCCCTTTCTGGGTCACCCAAAAATCATGTTGCTACGTTGATGAAAACCGATGATACCCATGGGTACCCGGCCTGGTAATTTCTTACATAGCGAACTGGAAAATGGCCCATAGAAATAGTGGATTTACCCAATTTACCCAGCTATAAAATATAGTGATTTTCCATAGTTATGTAAACGTTTACCAGAGGGTAGTCACCTATTCAAAATCCATGTTGGGATTATGAGTACAAATCAAATGTTGAGATTACTATTTGCATGTACCATAGTACCCCAGGCTAAATGAATACAAACAAACTCTGATATATTGGACAACCCATGGTCTCTCGACTGGTCAACAAGACATGAAAGAAATGGTGGGTTGTTCGCCCGGGCATTCAAATCAGCATACCTTCAGAATCGATGACGCTTGTAGTCCCTTTTGGCAGGAAACGATGGATAAACTGGATAACATAAATAAGAATAATAGCTAATAACATAATGTACAAACAATGACTGTAACTGCGATAATCAATCCAACAAAATAATCGATGGAGAACAATAATCAATCCATTATTGGATAAGTGTATTCCGCCAATTGCGATCAATGAATAACACGTACTGCAATCCATTCACCCACCATTCACCAAGGGGTCTCCCTGACCAAGCGTCATCAGGGACGGGAAAACGAAGTTCGTGATGAGAATCACCACACCTGGTGCCGAATCTCCATTCAAGGCGGATTTTGGTGCCACATCTAAACTTGAATACCGGGTATCTCCACCATGGCCGCCGCCTCCGGAGATGAACATGTTCCAGGCAAAGAACTTGGTCCCCTCCACGGCCGGAGACTTGGTGAATTTGAAGTACGAATCCATGACGAACCTCAGCACCGGGCCGCTGAACACCGCTCAAACGCCAAAGCTGGGCCGCTCTAAGCATCCACAAATCGCTGAGAATGTGGAAATACCGAAAAGGGTCACATCTGGTCCGATATAGCTAATCCTTCTCATTCCTTATCCAAACGTGGTGTCAATATCGCTACCCCTTTGTCTTCTGGACTTGCTGAGGTTAATGTTTCTCTTGTAGCTACGAGGAGCTAAAATTGCCACTTTTGTTACAAACAGTCGCGTCCCAATCTTTATTGCGTTACCACATCACTAACCCTGGTCTGGTAAAAAACACCCCCACTTGTAGCTCACATCCCCCAGTTTTGGTCAGTTTCCGCGTGCACTTTTTGAATAGCTCAACTTCTAAAAGTGCTCCGAACCTGCATCGAAATGTGCTTCGCGCCACAGCCGCATGCAGTTTTTGATCTCTCATCCCGCCAGATGGCTCTGCACCCGCCGCTTTAGCGAGTCTAAAGTGCTTCCTGACTTTTCTACCTTTCTGCGCTCTCTTCTCTAGCTCTTCCCACAACTGTTGCTGCGTCTGTTCATATGTCGGAAGTTTGACTTCTAAACTTCCGACGATGATTTTCCCATGACCTTCCTAGCTATAAACCTCCATTTTTATTATAATCCCCAATGTATTACTTTGATATATTTTCACATATTGTCTATATATTTACTATCTATTCCAATGATATTCTATATGTATTTCTTGCATTTTCTTACTATATAAAGAACTTTCTATATATTTTCTTACATATTGTCGATGTATTTACTATATGCTTCTACTATAGGTCTACTGATATTTCGAACCTCCCATACCGTTGCCGCCGTTGCCGCGCCACAGGGCCCCACAGGACTCGGCCGCGGCGATACCCGCGTTGCCCAGGAAGGCGCCGATCAGCAGCGGCCATGCCAGGCGCGGCAAACTGTCGGGCCTGGCGCCGGTGGAAACGCCGTTGGGATCTATGGAAGCCATGGGCCTTTTCCAGCAAAATGGGTGAAAGATGGTGAAACTTGACCAGTTTTTACCATGGGATTTAAGGACTTCAGTGGATTGATGGATGGCGATCTATCACATGGTTCGGAAATCAACAGGAATCCAGACCCCATCGCCATGTTGAAGCCTAAAAAAGGTTCAACCCTAAAGGTTGCCAGGTCGCCATTGTGCTTCTCTGTTCTTGTTGGTTATATCCCCAAGAATTAGCCCTTCTTGTTGGAATCATCATCTTTGCTATGTTCCCTTTCTTGGTGAGCAATTTTTTTGGGGGATACATTCCGGTCTACCCTCTGCTAAACGTTCACATAACGATGGAAAATCACTAAATTTTATAGCTGGGTAAATCCACTATTTCGACTGGGCCATGGCTTCAATAGGTTTTTGTATGTTTACCAGGCCGTGTACCTCCAGTACAATTGGTTCCCACTTTCGCCCTTCGCTCCCCGTCTCGGCCCGACTCAGTTGACTCACATTGACTCAGTTGACTGGGCCAAGACACACGCAGCCCACGTCAATCTTCGGCTGCCTTCGCAGAAGTACGTTCCTGGGGCCCATTTTGATTCAGCGCGGAGTGATAGGAGATGAAGCCATATGGATGCTTTGTACCACACAAATAGAATGGTAAAATTGGGGATGATCCTAATGCTTTACTCACAGCATAAAACGGGTTTCAAATCTTGGTGTGGCCGCATGGGCAGTGTAAGCAGTCAGCTGTGTGCATCATCAAATTCCGCTATCAGAATGAGACATTTGATTCTACATATGATTGTCCTCATACTGATCTCCCTTCTTCAAATGTTGAAGATTGATGCCACCAAGTTCTTGAAAAATCAGTGTAATGCTTGCAAAAAATATGCTGCATACATGGATGTGCATCCCGACTAGAAATTCTATGATTATGACATAGTATAATCCGCATAGTGGCATAGTGGCTGTGTAACAATATTTACAATCATATAATATGGTAAACAGTGAGTTATCGACATATCATGTGCTCATATCCTCGAGTGAAATAAGTACTGCCATGGTAAAATCCGTAAAATCATGTTCTCGATCAAAATTTATGCCTTGTTTTGGGGTGTTTTTACCCCATTTTCAAACACCCAAAATCCATTCTTCATTGGTTAGCGGACCCTAATCCCTAACCCGAAAAGTTGGAGCTTCGCCTTTTGCCAAGTCGCGGCGATTCCGCCATATAGCTGAAGACAAAGGTCCAGTTCAACATACCTCGCACCAGCTGGGTGCTCCCTGGATATGTCTGGGGAGAAATGGTGAAAATTCTGGAGGGAAAGTTGGAAAATACGGCAAAATGAGTAATGTCCCCAATTTAGCCCGAAATCTGGGCTATCATTTATCTTGGATTGGAGCAGCCGTGATGTATGTAATTATGCAATATTTTAAATCAAATGATGGCGATTGGGTGCTTGGGTATATATTTACGCACACTCAACTCACAACTAGTCGATTGAGTGATGTCCTTCGAAGTAACATCTGATGGGGATGCATTTTGCATGTCTTCGACGGGACATTTGGGTTGCATCCACTCTCTTTGTGCAGCTCAAACAACCCATGGATAAGACACCATATATTATCATCCATCTAAAGTTTCCAGTGGATATTGTTCAGCGTATGAGCTGTCGTCATGACGTCATGATGGTCACTGGTCACTATGAGTTTATATATGTGACCAAGATATGGTTCCATTCGCCGTGATGTAAAGCCCAAATAGGGGAACCAAAAAAAATCCAAAGGTTTGAGAAATGCGGATCCGGATAAACTGACCATCGTTTTTTTTTGGATCTTCATACAGATGTCTTCCAATGGTTGATCATCAGCTCTCGCAACATATTCCCACTTTGGATGTACCTTTTTGATCTTTGATTGCTGTATGTCCCATTGATTCCCGTTGAATATGTCATGTGACATGTCCCATTCATACCGATTTTCTATATCATTGTATACATTATACAATATCATATAATAATGATATATAATATAATAATATATATATATAATATGCCATTAATGATATTGATTCCCAGAAGGGTCATTCTTTTCGTATCCCATTTGCTGTGGCTTTTGTCAGGGTGACTATGGCCCACCTTTGGACAACCTGGCAATCAAATGTGGCTGGAAGCTGCCCATTCGTAGATGGTTTTCTCAGCTATACCCTCTGGTAAACAAACAGTTTGCTATTGAAAATGGCCATTGAAATAGTTGATTTACCCAGCTATAAAATTTAGTGTTCTTCCAGTTCGTTATGTAAACGTTTACCAAAGGGTAAACAGTCATTTAGTTCGTCGATTTTCCAACCAGCGTCGTTTGACACCGGAGGGTATCCCATCATTAACCATCATAAGCCATCATAAGCCATCATAATTACACCATTATTAATCATGAATCGCCATTATTTGGTACATCCGCTTGAATCTCCCCATTCCATTATATTGATCATCCGTCATGATTGTATATAATATCAACGATATCATTCAAAATGTTCATTTCATTTCAAAGAAATATATATAATTCTATATCCATTTTATCTGGTTGGTGGTATACCTACTCCTCTTAAAAATATGAGTTCGTCAGTTGGGATGATGGAATTCCCAACTGAATGGAAAAATAATCCAAATGTTCCAAACCACCAACCAGCTGTTACTAACCAACAATCTAATGGTGATTTAATGGTGGTTTAATGGCGATTTATAAATCATCCAAACGTCGTCATAACTGTTTGCATCCTCTTTTTCTACAGTTGTCCATGGTATTTATATATATATAATCTATATGGAGATGGGTCAAAACCCTTCTACCCCTGGTGAACATCAAAGTAGCTGGGATTTATGGATGTTCATCCCCCAACAAACTGTATTTGTAGGTATTGATCCATAGCCATATAGAAGCCATTGTATCTCTGCCGAAAAATATACGCCGAAGCTGCTCAAGGCAGCACAAATCCTCACCGCCGCTGCAAAGCCCTGCTGACTCAGGGCCTAGGGTTTTGGAGCCCTGGCGAGCGATTGCAACCCCCATTTCTGTACCAAATGGATAGTAAAACTGGTTGGTGGTTTGAACCCCTCTGAAAAATATTAGTCAGTTAGGATGATTATTCCCAATATATGGAAAAATAAAAAATGTTCCAAACCACCAACCAGAAAATATAGGACAAAAAAACATGGCTTAGCATGGCAAAAAACTATGGCTTAACTATGGTTGGTTAAAATCCAGGAACTAAAAATGAATGTTTACCCTTCGGTAAACTAACATAGCTATGGAACATCACAATGTTTAATGGATAAATCCACTCTTTCTATGGCCATTTTCAATAGCTTTTTGTATGTCTACCAGAGGGTAGGAAAAAAAAACACAGATTTACCATGTAGAGGTTGAATTCGATACAACTGAATCCATTAGATTCATTAGATGATACCAGTAGTACCGCACAAGGCGGTTGCCTAAGTTTCAAAAATAAGAAACCTATAGGAGAGCTTGGTTGCTGTGAATCCGGGATGGCAGAGCGAAGCCACTGATGGACTGAAAGGTGCTTGATCTCTCTCTCTCTCTCTCTCTTTCTCTCTCTTTCTCTGACTATCTACCTACTTACCTATCTATTTTCTATGTATCTATCTATCTATCGATCTTTCTAGTGTAGTGTAATGTAGTGTAGTGTAATTTAGTGTAGCGGTGTGTAGTGGAGTGTAGTGGAGTGTAGTTGTGTAGTTCTGTAGTTGTAGTTGTAGTGTTGTGGAGTGTAGTGTAGTGTAATGTACTGTAGTGTAGTGGAGTGTATAGTGTAGTGTAATGACCCGAAGCGAAGCGGAGCGACATCTGAACCTCCAAAAGTGGTCCGAACCTTAGTGTTTTGTACATTTTGACTTCGATATGTGCTTCGCGCCACAACGGCGTGCACTTTTTCGAGATCTGAACCTCCAAAAGTGGCGCGAACATGTGGTGCTTTGTACATTTTGACTTCGAAATGTGCTTCGCGCCACAACGGCGTGCACTTTTTCGACATCTCAACTTCCAAAAGTGGTCCGAGAATGGTGTGTTTTGTACATTTTGACTTGGAAATGTGCTTCGCGCCACAACGGTGTGCACTTTTTCGACATCTCAACTTCATTCAACTTCCAAAAGTGGTCCGAAGCTGGTGTGTTTTGTACATTTTGACTTGGAAATGTGCTTCGCGCCACAACGGCGTGCAACTTTTCATCTCTCATCTCCCCAGATGTCTCCGCACCCGCCGCTTTAGCGAGCCTACTTTTCAACCCTCCGGAGCCACAAAACCACGAAAAAACACAGTGTTTCGCGACTTTCCTACCTTTTCGCGCACCTGCATCTTCTTTCTTCTGATCTTTTCTCTTCTGACTCTTCTCCCTGCTGACTGCTTTTTCATCTCTCCATATTGTCGGAAGTTTGACTTCCAAACTTCCTTCGATTAGTGAGCTCCAGTGAAGGATAGAGAAACATGAATATAACATCCGATGGATTTCATTAGACAAAGTTCACCAAGTATTTCATCCGTATTTTCGAAGTTCTATATATATATATAATTGATTATAATTTCTAATTGAATACAGTTCAATTATCTAAGAATTGTGTACTTGGGGGGTGCTGGGATTGCCAAAAAATGACCAGCTAAAAAAGGGGCCCATCTCCCAACCAGCTCGGTGGTACATGTTTTCACTGACCATCTGGTTATTTAGCCATGGAAAATCACCATTTTTAATAGGTAAACCATCTATAAATGGACCATCTATACCATGGCCATGTTAAATCATCAGAGGGTAATCTGGTTGGTGGTTTCAACCTACCCCTCTGAAAAATGATGGAGTGAGTGAAAGTCAGTTGGGATGATTTTCCATTCCCAACTGAATGGAAAGTCATAATCCATTCATGTTCCAAGGCACCAACCAGTAATGAATCAATTAGCCGGTTGTGTAGGCCGTGCATAGTATGCATTACGACTAGCAAGAATCTAGCAGTTGAGCCACATGTACGAAAAGCCTCCAACACCAAGAAGGACAGGTTGAAATTGTGTCAGGTGCAAGTGAGGCAAATCTTAGATACCCTGACAAAGAATAAACTGAATAAACATCAATAAACTTCTGTTACCCAAATAAATATAAATGCGTACAATATACCTCCATGGATAACACGACGTATTCATACGTATTCCATGTGTTTCCAAAAAAGTTGGATTTGCAATCAACAGGGCAATCTGATGGCCATCTCCAACAAAATCCCATGAAAATCATGGAAAAACCCTATTTCCATCGGCTTTTCCGATGTTTTTCCATCGCTGGAAACCACCAGGCGGCCCCTGAGGCCCCCAACGGCGCCAAGCACTGGCCCCGTCATGAGGCCCAGAGCGATGCTTCCTGGCGCCATGGCATGGGAAAAACCATGGAAATCATGGGAAAATCCATGGAAAACCCACGGGAATGTTGGACATCTCCAAGATATTCTAAGTGGTAAGATGGTAAAATTGAGGGAGTTTCCCTAGATTCCAAAGGTTTAAAAAAATAAAACCAATGTTTCCGGTGGCGATTTTCCCTGCAATCCATTGATATCTATCTGGATGACCATGATCAACCAGCAAATGTGGGGATACTGCAGATACCCCAGATTCATGTCAAGCCGGGAACGTGAATTCCTGGGCTGTTGACCATTGGCACCGTTGCAGGATGATCGGATGACATATCACCAAATCCAGGCTTCTAAAATCGAGTACCCCCAGCAAACAAATGGAGAGCTGATTAATGGTGACGAAAACATGCCCAAAAAAATTCTGCCCAACAGCCTTCACGTTTGATCCAAACCCACCTGAAGGTGAACAAACAAGCAGCATCAAGCAGCTCATCATCAGAAAAACATATGGGGCCCTGGACCTGGCCAATGCCTTCCCAAAGTCGCCATCATCCGCACAATTTGAGACTCACCAATTGGAACATTTGGAAACTGCCCAGAAAACGATCCTAAATCCCTCAATAACCATGGCTATATCTGCCATAAATCCCAGTTAGCTTAGTCTTACTTAGGAAATTTAAAGCCAACTTACCTATCTAGGGCCTAGATGCCCGAGCCCTTCCTGTGGTTTTCACCATGTCCCCGGTTAACTCATCAGAGCAGCCTGAGCTATATGCCAATCGAACAGGTCTGTCCTCCCACGGAACTGCAGCACGAAAAAGCAGCCCCAGGACGAATTTGGTGAAAGGATTTTAGGGGCTTCCAAAATCTATGCCCCATGGAATTATGATATATTTATCCATACACCTGGGGTGTTTTATGGTGTAAATGTGCATAAATATGCCAGGCATTGAGGATAAGGATGCATATGGGATAGTTTTTTCAGGGTTACGCCAAAACTCGAAAAAGTCGTGGTGGAGTCCGCGTTATTTTTGGAAATGAAGAAGTGCTGCTGCTTCTCCAATGAAGGGGTGCTTCCCAGGTTCCCAGGTCGGCATGCCCTTTTTTAAGGGCTACGCCCCAGTCAATGTGGGCGTAATTTCTCAAAGTTTGGCAAACCCGGTCACACGCACGAATTGGCGTATGTTGGCAAAACAATATGAAACACGTGTGAAATGTGACGTTGGACCCTGCAAGACAAATACTTCACTCCACAAATTAAACTGGCACTAGCTTCTTCATGTGTCACCAACGATCCAACACCAACAACTCTCCTCCAGAAGTAGCATCATGTTTAGTATCCCTATCCATTGCACCATATTCCTCCAGACCTTTGTTCTCTCTTGAAATAACGGCCTCCAACCCGCAATCCCCAGGTCAATTTTCCGAGCAATCCGCAAGCGCGGCTCAGCGAGTGCTGCGAAGGATCTGGGCGATGTAGAAAAGGCCAAAAGCCAAATGCGCAGCCTCCACTAGCAGTGCTGCAAGGTCCTCCTCCTGAGGCATTTTTTTGTGACGCTTTGCTACTCAAGAGTGGTCCTCAGGGACAGATGTATGTATGTATATATCCCTCCAGTAAATTAACATAGACCCTGCCAGTTGTCGGGGTTGGAGGACTAGTTTCCACTATCAATTGGTGATAAAATCAGGCTCCAACTGTTAATTTACCAGGGGCTTTATATAATTGTATGATAGTCCAATGGATTCAGTGCTAGGGCCGATTTTGAAGTTTAAAACCAGTACCAAAGTTTGGCCACACCAATCCCGACCTGGCCATTGGCCACATCGAGGATATCAGCGTAGGCACAATCCGCGAAGAGCCACACGCAGAAACTCGCTACAAGCACCTCGCGAAAGTGCGAAAGTTGCTGCGCTTTCTGAATATCTACAAAGTGGATTATAACATATTATAACCCATATGCCATATACAATTATTATATAACCCATGTATAACATTACATGACCTACACAACCACCTGTACAATAGAATGACAAGCTACAGTTTTCCTATATACTGAATATGGAGCATACTTGGATTTGGAAGTTGCAACACCAGCTATAATGACCCAGTTCAAGTCCAGATTGGCTTAAAATGATAAACATTGTTAAAACCCGTTAGTGTTGGTGAAAATCCATGGCTCCAGACTCCAAACCACTTTCACAAGATTGGTTGAGGAAAAACATGCAGAAAATCCTCATTTTGTGGGTACACCCCAGGTTTCCTGTAATTGTACGTACATGTGGCCGGCTATTCGAAAAGAACTGATGATATGTGCCATACACCTTCCCATAGGATGCACACTCATTCATCTATCCATAAGGTGACTCTCCAGACTTTTTCGAAACAATGCGTGTTCCCTAAAATCAATTGGAATTCCAGGATCCTAAAATGGAGGTACGTTAGTACCATATAAGGCCATATTTTGTGGGGATATTACCTTACATAGGCCTGAGACATAGGCCTTATATATGGAATCGGTACCTCCGTCCTCAATCGGTTCCTTAAATTCCCATTGATAAGTCATAGGGGTACCCCTAAATCATCCAAAAAGTAAAGACTATCTGGATCTATCTGGTATATTTCGCTATTGAAACCACATTTTTTGTGTAGGAGACCGGTAGGGGACCGCAGGGTTTTTGGGGGGCCACCAACAAGTAGGGCCCGCTGAGGCTCTAGCTGAAACAACCCAACTGAGACCTTGTAGTGAGTATGACAAATTTGGGTGTTTTTGTGGCTTATATCAAATGTTTGGGGTGTAGAATCATGATGCTAAAGTTGGTAAAATGATGCAATTGATCCATGTTTGCTGCACCAGTTCTGCACCAGGCGCACAGCAGAGGTCATAGGACCTACTGACCCGTCGGAAGAGCAAACTCGCTTCGTCTTGGAGTGCAGGTTGAAATAGAAACCGCGCAGGCCAAAACCTGTGCCCATAGTCCCACAAGGTGTCGATTTGAATTCATGGGATAGATAGATGGATGAATGGATGTATAGATAGATAGATAGATAGATTAGATATATATGAATGAATGATCTGAATGACTAATAATGATCAAAAATATCATACTCAAGGGTATTTGGGTTTGTCTGAAAATGGGGATACCCCCAATTTATGAGCATTTGAATGTGGAAAATGGCGATAAATCAAAGGCTTTGGTGGTAGCCTATTGTCAGACAAGACCAAATGACAGGAACCCACAACATACCTTGGAAATCCTCTATCAATGGAGGTTTTACTAGGAAATTCTTCAAACTAATGACTAAACAACCAATTTCCTAGTATTGAAGTCAACCTAACCACTGTTTTCCTAGTTAAATGATACCTCATTAAGTGTCGTATTTTCCTAGAAGTGATTAGGATGCTAAAACAACCAATGGAGGTTCGAAACCCTCGGAAATGTCACTGGGTTGGAATTTTTCCATGGACTGAGCACCTGTACTCAAGGTCGAAGAAACCAACAAAACCAGGGGTCCAAGGTTGCGCAATCCTGCAACTTTGGACTTACGGGCCAGTGTGATACATATTATATGAATTTATATGATACAAATATAGAATCATATCATTATCATATCTGTCTATGTATACATGTGTGTATTGCAAATCTTCGGAAGATTGGACTCTTACTTCCAACCAAGCAAAAGGCGCCACTTCCTCCCAGCTGAGTTTTGTTCATGCTAATTGAATCTGGTGTATCATAATCTGGAATACAATCTGGAATTTGCTGTTTCGGGAATATCATAATTTGATTATCAACTGATTATGATGGTTGCTAATTGGTGTACTGCAAACATCATTCATTGCATTTGATTGCTGAAGTATCAGCATTCACCAGCCCGAAGTATCAGGTCATTTTGGAATGATTCCCCCAATCCGAATCATAATCTACGGTGACGTAAGCAAGTGACATCGTTAAAATTCAGCCAGATACTGTATCTCCCAGCGTATCCCCATATACCATGATATATATGCCCATAAATCATGGCGTTGTACATCTCTTGACCAGTTTTATTGATCATATCACCACTATATTATACCCCATTGCATCCCCATATTTTATAATGTTTCGGTGATTGTATAAATATACGATGTTAACTTTCGTAAACAAGGGGGCGGGGTTGTATTCCATGTTTACCCCCGGAAATAAGGTGCATGTAGTGCGCGAAATGCATCAAAACAGATGTGGGGGTTTCTTGGCTGAGAAAAGGGTTGCGCAATTGATTTCGAGACACGGCTTTGTTTTACTTATCGCATTTTTTCTCTTAGTTTTCCAGTCTTTTCAGCCAGAAACATTGCCAGCTGCCCACAAGAAAAACTACCATTCTATGAGTGTTTAAAAAAGGCCGCCTCAGGCGCCACTTTTGCACATTTGGATCGTCCTCAAGAAAAACATTCATTGCATCAATCTGAAACCATTAAACAAATAAAGACAATATCTTGTTTTATATTACTTGTTTATTCATTTTTAATTTTTAACATTTATTTATCTATTATGTTTTTATTCCTTATTGCTGCGAAATTTATCAAATCCAGGGGTGACCTTAATTTTAGCGTTTTTTTTTTGCATTTGTTTGATGAAAAACCGATAATTCAATGTGTTTTTTTGAACAATCAATCCTGGTAGACTGTATTTTTTTCCACGAGGATTTTTCACAAAACATTGACTTTAGGTTTTTCTCAAAAATGAAGAAAAAACAATTCCTTACATGAACTGGTTTATATGGGAATGTATGTCTACAAATAAAGAGAGATTATATATACAAAACCAACAAATCATGGGACATGAAAAAAAAGTACACATAAATATATATATATGTATATATATACCTGCAAAATCCACCTGTGCCAAAATTTGGCCCCTTAGCTAAGGGTACAAAATTTCAGCCCCTTAGAATAAAAAACACCCCTGGCAGTTTTCTTGAGCAAGAAGAGTGTCCTTGGAAGATCATCCCTTAATTTTATCAATGTAGTTTTGTTCCAAGTTGTGATTCCGATGCTACAAATGTTGGTGCCTGCTACTAGCACTTAATCAGCGACTGAAGAGCATGTATGACATGCCAGTGTGGGATGAGCAAGTTGCCAGAATAGGATGAAGGAGGGCAAAGCTGCGAAAGACAAGAACAAGAACACCCATGAAGCCAAAGACCGGTGAAGGGGAAGCCATGGTCCCAGTGTCAAAGAATTCAGAACAGGATCATTCAATTTGATTGTGTGCGTTGTGTGCGCCCATGGTTTGTGACCTGTATCATACCTGAAAAACTTTGATTTTCGAAATTGAAAGTAGGTGGCTGCCCAATTACGCATACTTACGCCTTTTACCCGGCAAATTACGCCTCTTAAAAGCGCAGGATTTTAGCAAAATGGGTGGTAGTTTGTTATACGATGGCTCATGATACCAGTAGTTGCAGTAGATGATCTCAGGATTTGTGGTCAGCAATTGATCATGCCATAAACAAAATTGTCATTGGTCTTATTACTGTGTTTGATGGTAAGCCTATCATGCCATTTGATGGTAAGCCTATCATGCCATGATAAACGTGTCGTGCCATGACAAACCTGTCGCGCGAAGAGAGTAATTGAAATATGATGCATACTCTGCGCAACTGCTTCATGCAGTAGCAGCCCATGAGCACAGCTTCACCCGGCAACGAAGGTTCTGTGATTAGCTAATTGCTCAGCCTTGCCCCTGAAACATCTTCGAACTTTAGCAGGAAACTAAGGTCAAACCTACTAAAAGACACCTATAATGATAGAACCCTCTAAAAGTCAAAAAAACACGCCCCGTAGACAAAAAGGCAGATTTTGGCTAAGAGGCTTAAAAAACGAGACCCTCAGGAACATCTAGGTATATACATTCATTCTTGTATGTTATCAATTTCCATAATTCCAGGAAATAAAGGAACTGACTATAGGGAAACAAGGTTTAAGATTTTGGCAAACCAACAGTTTTAGATTGGAATCCAGTTTGAAAGGGTTGTTTTGAGCAAATTGTACTGAATCACGTAGCTGCAGCCATCCACATGGCTCATTTTGTGAAGAACTTGGGTGAAAAAGCTAATCTATTTTCACATTTTAGGCCTATGCCAAAATGTGAAAGTCTGCGCAGAAGACAATAGGAGCCAGAAGGAAACAAATGGGTTTGTCTGAAAATAGGGTATATTCCCAATTATAGCCATTTAATAGGGATAATGATCAGCAAAACCATTGGGTAAAAAGGGGTACACTATTTTCAGACACACCCAAATGCAGGCACGTAAAGAAATCATCCAAAACAAGTATCCTTACATCATCTTATCATCACAGCTTTCTGGATTGGCTCCACAGCTGCTGGCAAGCAGCCATTCGAGAAGATATTTAATTTCTTCAATTCTTTCCGCTTTTAATTAAGATGTTGTTTAACTATGCTCATTCATATTACTTCATGTTTGCCTTAGTCTTTTCAGTGGATGTTTTGCTTTCTGCATTGCTGGCTGCTCAAAAGAAAAACAACCGGCAGCCGCAGGCGCCACTTTTAAGCACTTGGATCGTCGCCACTAAAAATTACATTCGTTCCAATCTGAAAGCAATAAAAAAAAAAACGCAAATAAATAAATATTTGCTTTATTGATTTTATTCTTTTTGATTCTTTGTGTGCTTTTTTATTGAACAAAATTTCCGCAGAAATTCCTTAAATTCAAGATTCAAGGGGCAGCCATGACCCTGTAACATATTTAAAGGAGTACCGCCCATGTTAAAGGATCCTAGTTCAAATAATGCTAGAGTTTTCAGTGTAATTACTCCCGAAAGTTGATAATATATAGTCATGAATATATATATATAATATACATAACACATAACCCTTATCATTATTATCATGTCCCATAGTTTGCTGATTTTGACTATAATATACATCTCTATTAATATGTACACATTCTAAACCAGCTCATGCAAAATCCCCCCAACCATCAACCAGGTCTCCAGCCACAACCACGGCACCGATCGGTGATCTGGGACGACGTCAACTTCTTCGTCAGCTCCTCGTGGCCCACGATGACATGGCCGCTGTCGCAGAAATCTTTGGCCGCCCGAATCAGCTCCTGTCACGGTCACGGAGATCCAGTCCAAACACTTGGATCATGATATTTACAGAATTTGGCGCAAAGCGCCGCTTTTTGTGGGTTGATAAGCAATGTCATCTTAGAATATTTTAGAGTTGAATGGTTGCTATTTAGCTACATTTGGGTGATTTTTGGCGTCAAGGTGTTGGACTTATGGTGGGTTTATCTGTACTTATTAGATGGTGTGACAAAACAACGGTGGTACCTGGAGACCACCATGGAGACCTAAGATCGGCAGAAAATCAACACTGGAACCTACACTTTGTGGACATGTTTTTTGTATCATGCTTCATTTTTTCGAGGGGTGCCTAATTTTGTAAAGCCTGTTTGAATTAGCTACCGTGGCAAATCAGAAACGAAGTGAACAAGGGAATTGCTCCAATACCCCTTATCCAGAGAGACAGCAATGCATTTTTTGAGATTGTTGGTGCCATCATGAATGATAGAGACTCTTACTCCATGCTGCCCCGAAAATCCTCAATCACCAATCCCAATTTCAATTGGTGAATTCCCCATAATTTCCCCATGTTTGACATTTCAATCCCAGATGTTGACTCCATCGCCACCGAAAAATCTTATGTTGATCTTGATCTTCCCAAAAAAAATGCGGTCTTTTTCGTGACCAAAGCCCAAAAATCACGAAACAAGATTTGTTGGTAGCGCCCAATCACCAAGATTATCCAAAGATCTTATGATCAATCTATTGTGGAATCATCTGGATGGTTGACTTGCCATATCTTCACCTCCCAAATCACCATCAAATCAGCAAACCACAATCAAGTGATACCATCAGATCGCCATGATAAATAATATGACTTAGATGTACTTAGATATACTCTGGTTGGTGGTTTCAACCCCTCTGAAAAATATGAGTTCGTCAGTTGGGATCATGACATTCCCAATATATGGAACGTCATAATCCATTCATGTTCCAAAGCACCAACCAGTACTTAGATATGGCAAAAGATTCAAATCACCAAATGATTTTGCCATATCAACAGCCCCGCCCTTCAAGCCACCGCCGCCTGGTAGACCTGAGCCGTTTCCGCAGCGCTCTTGCAGGGCTTGACCTCGAAGTGATGGCAAATGGCTTGCACGTGCTCCTCATATAGCGGCGTAGTGGCGTAGTGAGTGAATGGGGAGGCCACTTTTGGAGACGTTTCATTTCCTAGGTATGTTTATTGCTATATATTGCTATATATTGCTATACAGTATATAATCGATTACAATCGCTGTGTATTTGTATATGTATACATACAAACATGATCGTTTATATATATATAATCTTCAGGCGTTTGTTTGTAGGTGTGTTTAACTAGGAGAAACCAAATCGTAATCATATATGTTAATAATATATGTCAAACATATCTTTAAAAAAAAAACACTAACCAATTTTTGTTGGGCAAAAGACATTTTTTTCAAAAGGGCAACCTTTGGGGATGGAGAAAGCAAGTGAGACTTTGATTATTTGGATGTGTTTCCCCTTTAGTTGACTCGTTCATAACCCATATTAGTATACATATGATTACGTATATACATGTCTGTGTAACCCATAGACAGCGCATATCCATCCGGGCTAAACATGTTAAAACGGCTATAGATCATTCATACGAACTGCAACGTATATACATCTAAGTATATATCGCCATCTACCTGATGCGCACATAATCTTGAATGCCTTTTCTATCCTTTTCTTCTTAGCTGGGCAGTATATATTTCCCATTTGTGGCAAAGATTGATTGGTTGGTGGTTTCAACCCTGATAACTGGGTTTCAACCGTGGTAAGTCTCCTCGTCGATGTAAACGAGCTTCTTCAGTTCCTCTTGCGCTGCCTCCTGGAAAACGCGAAGCGAACATGGCTTCGCATGAAGCCACAAAAATCGTCATGTTTAGTATTGAGCCATATTTAACATCTGTGTTTGGAGGTACTGATCTTACTTAATGTTGAGGCATTCCTATCTATGGAAGGAATCGTTCATTTCAGCATGGCCTCGTCATACGCAGGAGACTAGATTCTGACAGAGGCAATGAGTGACAACCCCCCGCTTCTAAGCTGGTAGGCTGCTATACGATGTTCTTTTGTGATATGCTTGTGTCTGGTGTGTCTGAAGGCCGAAGGATGGGGTATACCATGGTATACCCACAATTTATATCAATGTATGGCATTTTCATAGAACAATTATGACCGGCCACTGGATTTTGGAGTAACAGTGAGTAGAACAAACGTATCCACTTTTTTTGTGGAAAAAAAATGGATATGTTAGCTGCTGTGAACATAGGCTATGATAGTAACATATGTTCAGTCAAACCCATATGCCGCTTATTCAAGGCTCTCTTCCGATTTCTCAGTTGATGTGCCGCTCAACAACGAAGGAGACACCTGCAATTGGTTTCCCCTCGAGAAAACCATGAAATGCTGATTTGGTTGAGTCCTTCTGACATGAGCTACTGACACGAAACCTGTGCGCATATTGGATTGGAGACATTGCTTCTCTATAGGTTCCCTTGTCAAGGATCTGGTAATCCCCATTAAGCAATTGACAATGGATGCCCATATTCCGACTGAATGGGTCAACCGGCAACAAGAACGATTTCTGCGTCGCCACTTTGCTATGTTTACTAGCAGCAAATACTTCCCATCTCTGTTGGTTGATACGGCTTTGTCCAAGACTAGGGCAACCCTAATTTTTTATTAATTTTTGCGATTCATCATTCCGCCCATTGAAATTGTCATGGTTGGATCATTTTGTGGTATACCGTATATCATTTTCCGGACAACTCGATATCCCTGATATTCCCTGACATCATGAGGCTTCACAGCCATCTCGGGCCTCATCTTTCTTGGATTCGCCATGCACGTAGCGACTCAAGGGAACTAAGTTGTAACTGGGCTCGTGCGCAAAATACATCCTGGGCTGCTGGGATTCACTGCCGGAGGGGGTGACCTGTTCAAAAAATGGATAGTACCCTCTGGTAAACGTTTACATAACTATGGAAAATCGCAATTTTTAATGGGTAATTCCACGAACTAAATCACCATGTTCAATAGCTATGTTAGCTTGTCAGTTGGGATGATGAAATTCCCAACTGAATGGAAAGTCATAATCCATTCATGTTCCAAAGCACCAACCAGGGATGGTAGCTGCTTGTCAAAGGTTGGCAGAGTCCCTACAATCCCTAGATCCTCATGGGCCCAGTGGCGAGCAAACGAAGGTGGCGATTGGAATCACCTGGGTTGAAAAGCCATAGTTGACTAAGCTGGTATGTATACAACTGGTGAACACATGTGAACACTAGGATTTATAACAAATATATATATACACAGTATACTATATATATATATACATATATATATCCATGTGTGGCTGGGCTATGAATTATAAACATGTATAAAGCATTATAAAGCAACTTATGACCATGGCGCATTACTTTCTGGTAAAAGAAACGGGATAATTAGTACCCAGTTCCTCACCATTTTCACAGGTCGGAATGAATGGTTCGACTGTGAGGACAGCAACCAGCATTTCACACCCCCAATTGGGGGGTTCCTGAAATGGGGGTACCCCAATAGCTGGATGGTTTATTTCATGGAAAATCCTATTAAAGTGGATGATTTGGGGGGTAGCCCTATTTTAGGAAACCTCCATTTCATGGTTCCCATGTAATATACATTCCCCTTCACCGGGAACCATTGGAAATCAACCATCCCCCCTGCCGTTTCACCGGCAGACCGTTTTCGCCGTGGCGCCAAGTACACGAACCAGCCGCGGGTTCCCTCCAGCAGTTCGAAGTTTCGGCCGCCCAGTCTGGGCGTTAACGTGTCCATCAGAAAGTTTGACACAGCGTGCAGCAAACAAATCGTCAACACCTAAGGCTGTTGCGGATTTTGGTCGGTTTTTGTGAGGGATCTCGCGGGCTGCGAATCCCTGGTTCCGGTGATCTCAACCAACCTGAAAAAGATTTCTAGTCAGCTAGGAACATCGTCCCTCAAATAGGCTTGATAATTAGAACATGTTTGAAATCATCATGCCTCCAGGTGCAAAAAAATGGAAGAACTTCCTTGCTTCTCCCTTTTCTTGGCAGCCAAGTCCAAGCGATGCCGGGCCACATAGAAGAGAGGCTCATTCTTGGCCTGATACTCCTTGAATCGCAGGATCGCTCCATGGTGCAACAGCTCGTAGTACATGCGCTGAATCAAAATCATACTTCTAACCTCAGCCAAGGAGTACTTTGTGAAATTGAAAGCAGTGTGGGTGTGTCAGCAACTGGACTATCATAGATAAAATATGCAGAAGCAGTTCTATCATGTAGCTAGATACCAGCACTGTAGGTAATTTATGTTCTCCATGTTCGCAAACCTCTTGGAATCACATCACGAAAACAAGTTGTTTCCTCTGGTTTAAATGGACAGCGCCAGCACTAAGAATTCATCAGAATTTGAGGGGCTTCAATCTCAGCCCCGCGGATAGCAATCCCCAAAAAGAATGAAATCCTGAGTTCCTTCATTTCTGACGTTCTTTTTAACGTTATAAAATGTTATATTTGTATAGATTATCGTCATATAATATCATGCAATATCATATAGCCTCTGGTAATTTGTTACAGTTTGCTATTGAAAATGGCCCAGTCGAAATAGTTGATCTACCCAGCTATAAAATGGTGGATCTTTCCAGTTCGTTTTTTGTTAACGTTTACCAGGGGCTAATCCCCTGAGTTTCTCTGGGAAGTTCTGAAAAAAGAGCATCCTCTTCCGACAGTTTCTGGCGACCAAGCTCATGGAGATGAGAATGGCCACCAAGGGGAAGAAGCGTGTGTAGGCTTTGGTGTACTCACCTACACTTGGCCGCAAGCGCTGGTGAGTAACGCAAAATGGAAAGCCAATAAAAAATAAACCGTCCCTAAAAATCAAACCAGCCACAAGTTTGGCATTGAGTTGCCTGGATTTTATCTATTTTCCTTAACTGGACCCAATTATACCCAAATATCATAGAATATCGATGAATATGGTACACTCTGGTAAACTAACATAACTATGGAAAATCACCTTTTTTTATGGGAAAACTCACTATAAATGGCCATGTTCAATGGCTATGTTAATTTACCGGAGGGTAGATGTTTCAGCACATCATTTCAGCCAGGTCGCACATCCATAGCTCAAAGGTCGAGAGCTCTTGCCAGCATTCCATGATGTAGCGACGCCTATCAGATCGGCCATGGGCCAGGGCCGCCATGGGAGGCCGCCATGGTGAAATGGAGAGCTGGCCATCCGAAGCTATGGGCGTGTCTTAAAATTGAAGATTCACCCCATTTTACACCGCCATTTCATGAGGAAAAAAATCATCAACCCTCGGATTTTGGATTTTGGGGTCTATGTTTAGACAAAGCCGTATGATCTCTCTCACTAACCATCAAGGACATGTTCCTAGGCGTGCCAACTTTTTTTTCTTTTTTCACCCAAGTTTCCAAGCAACTTCCCGGTAATCAAACATGGCTCTGGGAAAATCTCTCAGCAATGTAAATTGGCTCTTGGACATGGTGATGTTCCATGATTTTTCCATGAGTTTCCCATGATTTTCCCATGATTTTCAACCATTTTTCCCCATGTATCAGAAACCAATCAGGTGCAGTTCCCCAAAAAATCGCCTCCATAGAACCTGGTAGGCCACAAGAAACATGGAGACGATCTGATAGCCCACCACTCCCAGCGCGTTCCTGGCTGTTTAAAAGGGCCGTTTGGGAGTTGATTCCGAAGTTCACGGAGTTACCATCTGGTGATTTCTCATAGCCATGGAAAATCACCATTTTTAATAGGTAAACCATCTATTTCTATGGGCCATGTTCCATGGCTATGTTAAATAACCAGAGGGTAACACTTAATAAATGGAACAACTATATATTTTAACAGGATTTCAACATGGATTGAATAGGTGTGGTCATAACATGTCATAACCCACTTCGAACTTGTCCGAAATGCTAGGATTGCAGGGAAATTTCCGGGCTTCAGACTGTTGATCAGCGATTTTGCTGGGGACCCAACATGATACCAGGCCTTTGGCCACCCATCCAGATGAAAATTCCAAGGCTCGCCAAAAGCATCCAGGGATCCGCGTATTCCTTGGCCCAGGTGCTCTGCCTGGATCTTTCGTTGGCCTCGTTCGTGGTTCCGGCAGCGAGGTAGATTCATGGATAGATTACAATGGTGAAATTTATAGTTGTTTATATGTTTATACATATACATATTATATTTAAAGAGTAGTTAGTAACTATTAATAAGTCATAATAAGTCACCAATCTAAAATAAGACCATGTTGGGATAGCTACCCCGATTCCCATCATTCCAGTGATGTCGTTCAAAGTCGTTCAAATTCATCCGCAAAACTCGTCCCCCAATAGTAAATCCACCACATTTTGGTGACCCAAAAATGAAGATATATAATATATATATATATATCCAACACGAAACTAGAGTGTCGATAGGGTGTGCTATTAAAGAAGATGATTACCAACAAACACGGGCAACAACAAGTGGGGAATCAACTACAGAGGAACGACTTTGTCTAAAAGGTGTATCTGTCCAAAATGCGGATTTTGCGATAGATTGGGGTTAATGCAACAAAGAATGTGGTGGATTTAAGCAGTCACTTAAAAATCATGACTTTTGGCCAGCTTACACATTGGGAATTTTCGGATGTGTATCACCCACAAAAATGCGGATTGATGAACAAATGGTCTAACCAAACAATGGACTTATTAGCTGCAATGGTGGCGTCACCGGACTTGGGATATCTGATATACCCAGCAAAACTGGGAGGCAAACGGGTAAAAAAATGTATTTCCTGGGACCTGTAAACTGGTTCCAGCAACATCTGACACGAGGTCCCGTTGCACGTGACCCCGTTGAGGGAAATCTGACCATGGCACCACCACGCACCCGGAACCCGGAACCCATGGCATCTTTCGGAATAGCTTAAAATTCGATCTGCCCTCACCGATTTTCTGGGGGTTGGAGTCAAAAGAAACAGAGAAGAAATACCCTCCGGTAATTTAACATAGCTATTGAAAATGGCCCATTTATAGTGGATTTACCCATTGAAAATGGTGATTTTCCATAGTTACGTTAGTTTACTGGAGGATATTAATCATATTAATCACCAGCATCCAAATTTGGTGGCTCCAAAATCCATGGATTTCATGACTTACACACCCGATAGCCGATATCTTCTTGGACAGCCATGGTTTTTCACCGCAGTCGCCACCAAGTTCACGGCGCCACATTCCGCTGTCAGTTGTGACGCCAGGGGCGCCGAGACCTCCGGTGGCCCCTCGGACATGGAAGCCGCGCGCGCCCGCGCGCCCGCGTGCCGCGCACGGCTGATGTGTGAGACGAGCGGCTGGCGAAACTTGTGCAGAGGTCAACCAGAAAATTTGGGGCAATGACGAAAAGCCATTTCTGATTGACCAACAACTGGGACAGGCTCTAAGAAAACTTTTTTTTTGTGTGTATCGAAAAATAAAGGACTGTGGTCCCACGAGGGGTCTGTTGATGCACGCACGACCTCTACACAAGGTTTTGCCAGCTGCACTTCTGCAAACAATGACCTGGCACTAAGACACTTGCGCGGTGAAGGGTTTTGCACTCGCGCTTGAGCATGGCCCACGAGCAAAGTGAGCTGGAGGCAATTGGGTATCATGTACCAAACAAAATCACGGGCCCAAAATGGCCTAAATCTGATGCGGTGATGTATGGTTTCATAAGTTTCATATCTTAAAGCTGCATAAATTTGCAGACATACGTCTGCTTGAGGGGTTGGCTTGAGATGTGACCCATGCATCCGACCCATCCCTTGGCAAAACATGGCAAAACATCTGTCGTCCTCCTCCGCTGAGACTTGGGCGATGTACGCATTGCACACACCTCGCGCTGGAGCACCGTGGGCCAAACAAAGCTCCCTTGCTGCAATCATCAGTGGCTATCGCAATTGGGTAATTGTTGGGTCATATCGGATGTCATATTGGATGTCATAACATCTCATAACCCTATGACAACTGTGATATACCTTCACATCCTTGAAATATCTTCAAATGTACCAGGCAGTTCCTAGATGTTCATAGTCCCTTGCAAACTTCAGATAATCCTCCTGAGCTGGGGAAGATATACAGTATGGAAAACTCAAAAAAACTGGCTCTCCACCATGCTGGGTTCCTACTCACTAAATGGATCTAAATGGGGTCTCTTTTCATCTCAATTTCAAGTTATCCATAGTTATCCACCGCTTACCACCACTTCGCCGTTCTACCATGAAAGATCCCCAGGAAGCCTATGGTAGCGCAGAAGGCCCCAGCAAAGATGTAGCCGACCATCAAACAGGTGAAGCTTTCGGCTACGCTGAGGATCAAATATGCCTGAGCAATGGTTTCCTTGTGGAAAAATGAAGCTTTCCATGGGAAAGTTATGGGAATTATCAGAAGATCGACTATAAATGATGTTTTTCATGGAAAAATAATCTATAAATTGGTGATTTTCCAGCAAAGCATGTTTGATTACCAGAAAATTACAACCATCTATATACACAATTCTCCGGTCATTTATGAGTTTGCTATGGAAACCATGGCATTTTTAGTTGGGATTCTCGGAGGTGAAATCCGTCCGAAAAAAATCCAGGTCACACATCAGTGCTGTATCATCTGTATCATGCGCTGGGTTAACATGATATATAATGTTAATTAATATAATGTTAATATAACATATCAAGATGTTAATATAACATATCAAGATGTTAATATAACATATCAAGATGTTAATAAAACATATCAAGATGTTAATAAAACATATCAAGATGTTAATATAACATGTCAAAATGTTAATATAACATCACCTC